AGTAAATCTTATTGAGCACTTTAACTTTACATGTCAAGAAACAAGCTCCCACCGGCTATAGCATACAATATTCGGTCTGCTTTCTTCTTATCACAAAAACTAGCACGTCTAAGCTACAACTCAGTCTAAGCCAGGCCTACCAAATTTTTATATCATGATTTAAGCTTTACTTTCATTTTACTTTCATTAAGACAATTTGAGGCTTTCATTAAGACAATTTGAGGCTAATAATGTAACTGCTCAAGCCCACCACTAGCAGATATTGTCCGCTTTTCCCTGTTACGTATCGGCCGTCACCCTCACGGTTTTAAAATGCATATGCCACACCCTTACATAGTATGTTTCATTCCCCTCTTCAACCTATGTGGGATCTCACCATCCACCCCCTTGCAGGCTTGCGTCCTCGCTAGCACACTGCCCGGTGTTTGGCTTTGATACCATTTGTAACAGTCGAAGCCCACTGCTAGCAAATATTGTCCGTTTTGGCCCGTTACGTATCCTGTCAGCCTCACGGTTTTAAAATGTGTCTACTAAGGAGAGGTTTTCACACCCTTACAAAGGATACTTCATTCCCCTCTCCAACCTATATGGGATCTCACGGATAAAGTAGAAACACTACGCAAGTCAAAATCTGCAGCCGTTTCACTGGTATCTTGCCTGGTAATATATAATTGGATGTCACAATGAACTAGAAGAAAAAAAAATGTAAAAAGGAGTTTCTCTTATACTTACAAGTGAGTTTAAGTTCGCCCGGTCGAATTTCGAAAAGCTCCATAGTCATGACTCAATCAGCTTAAGAAACAATCAACTTCTGAAACTGCCATTGCAGAAAGCTTTAGTCATCAGAGCCAGGAAATCATTGAAGTGAACCAAGAAGATGAAATTTCCCAAAATAATGAAAACAAAATAGATATAGTAACAGACTCCATCGATCTACTCATCAAAAAAGGGAAAACAAAGTGGAGTGGCAACAAAATAAGAACATTTCAATGCAACAATCAGATCAAACAAACAAACAACTCTTATGCTGCCCACAACCATCGTCACCAATCTCAAAGAACAAACATATGAGACCCAGCAAACATCGCCAAAAACACGTCAAGACACACAAAAAAACCACGAAATCAAAAGGGGAAAAACAGAGGGATCTGAGCAAACAGCTACACTCCGATCAAGAACAGCAGAAGGAAGGAAGAATTAAGAAAATGAGGTACAACGTACAAGCACAGTAGTAGCCGAGTTGAAGCGATTACGCGATTGAATTGGAAGTTTGGCGAGCGAGCAGAGTAGAAGAAGAAGGCGTGGATGAGTGAAGAGTTAGTTGGAGAGATCTGAGCTAAGCAGCAATGGAGGAAAGGAATGAGAGGAAATGAAAGCAGCGAAGGGGACAAGTGAAAGCAGCGAGCGTGAAATAATCTTGGATTTGCAGAATGGTAACGATGGCTACGCGGGTCTCTCTCTCTCTGTACTACTATCTTCTCCCCCGCTCCCATGGTCGGCTTGCTCTAAGCCGTTAATTTTTGAAAAAAATGAACTTGGCTCGAACTCGGCTCGGCTTGGCTTCTTTTTATGAAAGTTTCAAATCCCTTTAAATATTTAATATTTTAGTTAATGGTATATATCGTGGTACTCAGAAATTATTAATAATAAAGCTTTTTTAAAGTAATAAAAATATTTCAAAAAAAATAAATAAAAGTCTTCGTAAATTATTGATATATTTTATTAATCATTTATTAAAAAAAAATGGCGTAACAGCGAGATTATTTATACTTTTCTTGTATTTATAAATTTAAATTAAGTTGACTAATTATAATTTATACAAAATAAAAAATGTCACCCACTTATAATTTTTCTTATAAAAATTTCGAATTAAGTTGACTAATTAAAAAAAAATTGAATTATTTTGGATTTTTTTTTCAATTCATTTTTAAATATATATTAATAAAACTAATTCAAAACAAAAACAGCTTGTGATACGAACTATAGTGATTAAGTTAGATTGAAAAAAAAATGAGTGTAACTGCTCTGCAATCCCAATAAATGATGGTCAGTTTCAAATTGTCGATGTCTAATGAATCGTGTTAGCTTAGGTTATATTTTTTTTCCATATTATAGATCATCGTTTTAAAATATCAAAATTTTCTTCTATACTGATGGCACCAACTATTGTTGCTAAAGTTCGGTTAGAAAAATCTCATTTAACGTTCACGTAACAGCAACGGTAAAATTTATTCGAGTAGAGAAGAACATGACCTGCAAAACATGGTAAATTCGCGCACGGGTATGGTTTTTGTCCCCACAACTTTTGGACTAAGTCAAAAGATAGCTAGATTTAGAATGGATTAAGAGTACACGAAGCAAGAGCACTTTAGGGTGCATACCCTATATGAAGCTTACACATAAGTTGGAATTCAACTCGAGTCTTCCTTAATTCTTTATTTAATGGACTTTTTTTCCGTATTTTATTTGTTTATGTTTATCCAATGATTCAAATTTCACATATCCGTTATTTTATTATTTTGACTCGATAAATATGCAACTTTTAGGTAATAATTAAATAAAAATAACGCCATAAATATGAAATTAGGCAGCTGTGTTGATTTTCCTTAGCCACGCAGAAAAGAAAATTAATAACGCCATAAATATGAAATTAGGCAGCTGTGTTGATTTTCCTTAGCCACGCAGAAAAGAAAATTGGCTAAGAAGCCGAGGCTGGCGGGTTTTCCTTTCTAAAACTAAGTAAAACGACGTCGTTTTTTAAGACTTTGGTGTTAAAAAAAGAAAGCCTTTTTATTTCGTCTCGTTGTCACTGTGTGGGACTTGGATTCCAAGGTCCATTTTCAGGATCACCTTTGGATTCTCTTTTACAATTTCTACTTTTTCCTTCCTTCCTTTAATAAATAAAATAATATAAAAGAATATTTGGTGTCATTTTTTCAACCATGTTTAAAACTATTTAATTTTTAAAAAGCATTCTTACTATCTCGAACCCAGAGCACCTAACTCCACATTGAATTCGAGGTCAATGAACATCTATGTTGGGTTCTGGTCCTCGTCAAGAGGTCAATGAGCGTCCCTATCTCGAATGCGGAATACGGGCTCCATGNTGGGTTCCTGATCCTAGTCAGGAGGTCAATGAGCATCCATATCTCGAATGTAGAGCGTCGATTCCATGTTGGGTTTCGGTCCTAGTCAAGAGGTCAATGAGCTTCCTTATCTTGAATGTGGAATGTCGACTCTACGTTGGGTTCTTAATCCTAGTCAGGAGGTCGATGAACATCCATATCTCGAATGTGGAGCGTCGACTCCATGTTGGGTTCTGGTCCTGGTCAAGAGGTCAATGAGCGTCCCTATCTCGAGTGCGGAATGTCGACTCCACATTGGGTTCTTGATCCTAGTCAGGAGGTCAATGAACATCCATATCTCAAATGTGGAGCGTCGACTCCATATTGGGTTCCGGTCCGGGTCAAGAGGTCAATGAGCGTCCCTATCTTGAGTGCGGAATGTCGACTCCACATTGGGTTCTTGATCCTAGTCAGGAGGTCAATGAACATCCATATCTCAAATGTAGAGCGTCGACTCCATATTGGGTTTCGGTCCGGGTCAAGAGGTCAATGAGTGTCCCTATCTCGAACATAAAATGTCAGCTCCACGTTGGGTTATTGATCCTAGTCAGGAGGTCAATGCGCATCCATATCTCGAATGTGGAGCATCGACTCCACATTGGATTCTTGATCCTAGTCAAGAGGTCAATGAGCATCCTTATCTCGAACGCAGAATGTCGGCTCTACGTTGGGTTCTTGGTCCTAGTAAGGAGTCAATCAGCACTAACATTATTCCTAGAATATTAAGAATGGTAATAATTGGATATAATTTTGAAACCGAAATAAATTGAAATAAAGGAAATTTAATTAAAAAATGAGAAGGGATAATATAAATGGGAAAGAATCTCATTCTTGAAGGCGTTGCTTTTAGAGATTCTTAGCGTTCAATTGGGCCTTGTTTGTTCGGATTACATGAAAAGTGGGGCAGAGGAAGAACATTGGATAGGTTAAACGTGACAGCGTGGACTAACGATGCCAAACGTTTTGGCACCACATTCCATTTGTGGAGCCCCTACCATAAAGTGAACCAACAACGCCAAACTTTATTATTATTATTATTATAAATCCCGACATTCCACGTATGACAATATAAAAAAATGTAACGTCCCAGTATAGAATTTGGGTATCGGATGATACCGACATTTCCTTACATCGTAGTCACGTTACCTAGTCTTTGCTTCTTAAAAGTGAAGACTATCCCTTATTTAGTACCTGATAGCCCATCCGTGCCTTGATTGCGTTATCTACTATTTGCTTCTTACAAGTGAAGATTGTCCCCCCGATTTGGTACTTGATGGCTCTAGTGTTCCCACGATGCATCACGGTTGCATTACCTACTCTTTGCTTTTTAAAAGTGAAAGCTATCCCCTACAAGTGAAGATTGTCTCTGATTTGGTACTTCCCGTGATGTATCACTGCCTCATTTTCTACTCTTTGCTTCTTAAAAGGGAAGACTATCCCCACATATCGACATGAGTCATCATGTTTTATAGTATTATTTTTTAAAAATAGTGATTTGAAAATTTTTATTTTTAATCTAATATTTATTAAAAAATTGTAAAAATCCTATTAAAAAAAAATTAATATATTTTCCTATAAAATTTCGAGATTATGATTAAAAAAAATAGAAAGAAAAAGAGGAAAACTATGGATTATTGAATGGAAATCCATTCCCACGGGCTTTCTTTTGAAGCCTGCAAACGGTCCAGATCCAACAAAATGGGTCGACAACGTCCCCATATTTTCACGAAACCCGACATGTCGGCAATTACAATCATATATTGGCCCAAACCGACGACGTTTCAATGAATGGGCCAAAAGCCGATTATTGTCACGTGCGAAGCATGCTCGGACGACGATCCCATTTTTATTTTTTTGTTAAAACGAGCAGGTAGTGAAATGGCAGTTCCATCATCCTTTCGAGGGCTGGGTAATTTCTTCAGCTTCTAACCAGAATTTTGTTTCATGCAGTTCATCATCAGCTGCCAGTTTCTTCGCGGATATCGTTTCAGGTGTTGTATGCTTCTTCTTCTTTACTCGTCCATGAAGATTTTCTACTCTGTCAATTTCATTTCCCGACTTGGAAATGTTGCCCATTTGATAAAGCACCTTTTTTAATTTTCTTCGTGCTGTTTTTTTTAGACTCAAGAACTTTCCAACATACATTGATGTCGTTGTTCTAGCTTAAGTATCTATCTTTTTTTGATTCAATTGTAAAGTCTGTTCTGGTTTTCAACTGCCGCTGGTGAAACTTGAGCTGAACTGATATTGAAATAGCTCACAGCTAGCAGACTTGTTTGAGCTTTCCTTTCCGGCTCACGCTCAAGGTTTTTAAAATTCATGTGTTAGGGAGAGGTTTCCACAATGTTTCGTTCCCTCTTCAACCGATGTAGGATCACACAATCCACCCCTTTGGAGCCCAATGCCCTTGCTTGCACACTGCCTGGTGTCCACCCCTTTGGGGCTCAGCGTCCTCGCTGGCACATCGCCTGATGTCTGGCTTTGATACCATTTGTAACAGCCTATCCCCTTCGGGGCCTAGCGTTCTCGCTAACACATCGTCCGGTGTCTGGTTTTGATATCATTTGTAACAGTCCACCTCCCTTTGGGGCTTAGCGTTCTTGCTGGCACATAGCCCAGTGTCTAGCTTTGATACCATTTGTAACAGCCCCAAGCCCACCACTAGTAGATATTGTCCTCTTTTGGCTTTTCCTTTCGAGTTTCCTCTCAAGGTTTTTAAAACTCATATGCTAGGGAGAGGTTTTACACCCTTATAAAGAATGTTTCGTTCCCCTCTCCAACCGATGTGAGATCTCACTGGATTGTAAAATTGTAATAGTTATAGTATTATGGATGATCTTATTGGAAATATTTCATGCGACTATCTTTCGTGGTTGTTTTAGAGGATAGTTATGAGTAGTGTTTGCTTGCGCTGTCCATTTTTGTCTTCCCTTCATTCAAGCATTTTCCCTTTCAGCTATCGCTAGTTACTTGATATCCATCGAAGAAAAATATGGGAAAAATTCACACAATTGGATAGAACGTGCATTTCCTGTTTGTATTACCAGTGAATTGTTTTTATGTTAGGATCACTTTGTCCATTTTAGTGTCTAGTTGTTTTAAGTTAAATTGGTCTTTTTGTTCGTCGTCTTATCAATGTCACGATTATGATTTTCACATTTTAGGTTGCTGTCTTGGACAATATGGCGTCCGCACAAAATGTTGAGTTGGAGGCAGCAAAGTTTCTGCACAAACTAATTCAAGAATCTAGAGACGAGCCAGCAAAATTGGCTACAAAACTCTATGTGGTGTGTAATGCATTTCTTGCTTTCATTTTGTCTGCTCAATGAATGGCACGCAGAATTTTCATATTTATGATTTCATGCTTGTGTGAGTTTCAGATATTGCAACACATGAAGTCAAGTGGGAAAGAACATTCCATGCCATATCAAGTAATATCAAGGTAAAGAATGATGGTTCCATACTTTAGTGAATCAGCGATTATGTTTCCCCCTTATAATTGTTGCAGTTCCTAATGATTGTATTTTCCCGATACCGAACCGTCATTTGTTCTAATTTGGGGAAAAAAACAAACCACCTGCATTAATATGCATGATGATAGGTTATAGTTCACTATATGACTGATATCCAAAAGGCATCTATGATGCAATGGTCACCGAGGCCAAGGGTTTCTTGCAATTGGATAATCATCTATTTGGCTTTGTTTTAGTTAGATACACGAGAAATCAATTTTAATTTTTTGTAATTTAAGTAAATGCCAAATGTAACGGCCCAAGCCCACCGCTAGCAGATATTGTCCTCTTTGGACTTTCCCTTTCGGCTTCCCCTTTTGGGCCCCTTTAGGAGTGAATTGTGAGATCCCACATCGGTTGGAAGGGTGTGGAAATCTCTCCCTAGCATATGTGATTTAAAACCTTGAGGGGAAGCCCAAAAGGGAAAGCCCAAAGAGGACAATATCTGCTAGGGGTGGGCTTGGTCCCTTACATAAAAAGGGTGGAAGGCCAATAGAGGAATGGTGGAAAAAGAAACTTATGGTTTGCTTTTTCATTCGTCACATCTATTGACACTTAATCCATGAAGAAGCTCTATATTGATGCCAAATTTGATTAGAAATCCTGTTTTTAAAATTCTTTTTACTGTGTAATATGTCTCTGTTAGGTTGTTGGTCTTGAATGGCATTTTGATGCAATTCTACCTCTTTACAGAATAAATGTTCATTACTTTAATCCTACCATTGTTTCTTTAGATTGCTATTCTTATTTATTTCCTTTCTGTTAACCGATACTTTTTAATCTAGAGCCATGGAGACTGTCATCAATCAACATGGTCTTGATATTGAAGCTTTGAGGGCTTCACGCCTTCCTCTCACTGGTGGAACTCAGATGAGTGATTCTACCACTGCACAATATGCGGGTACAATGATCTTCTATTTGGTACTGGTTATAAGTGAATCTGGTTTGCAAGTGCACTCGTGATTGTTTGCATAATGTTTGTCTACAAATGCACATGCTATACTTTGTTCGGAATAAATCATTGTAGAAATAATTGCAGGCTCCTCCAGTGTTGTTGGTACAGCTAAAGATTCCAAAATGGGTATATCTGGAAGTGACACCAGAAGTGGCCCACTTGCTCCAAGAAAGCCACCTGTTGCCCCAAGTAGTACAGATCATGATTACTACCAAGGACCTGCAACTCATCGGAGTGGTCAATATTTTGATCAAGGAAGTCCTTCTAGTTTGGATTCGAGGTCTGCCAACTCACAGTCACAAGAGAAGCATGATTCAGTGAGTTGGGACAAACAATTAAATGATAAGGATGGTAAGAAGGGCACCAAGAAGAGGAAGAAGGTGGATACATCAGTTATGGAACCATCTAGTGACGATACCCATCAACCTGATTCCCGCAATCCGTCGGTTAATCCTAGGAATGCGAAGACAAATAGGGTCGAACCACCGGCATATCTAGTTAAGGGAGGTATGTGCCTTTTCTTTTGTTTTTAAAGTTAGTTGGAAAGCTAGCAATGGCTTGGCCATCTAGGTCCATTTAGTCATAGTGGAAAAGTATCATGTTTATATAGGATGAACCATGGAGCATACAGTGTTTCCAACTTATATTACCAATTTACCACTATCTCCAAGCCTCTTCTACTGCTCACTGACTCTTTTATATGGTGCAGGCAATATTGAGCAGGTGAAGCATGGATTATCAAAAGCTGCTGAAAAGCATATTGACCCTCAAATGTATTCTGTGAACAGAGGTGATGGGATATCTACCTCGGGCGAAAAAGTTTTGGAGAGTGAACTACCTATATCTAGCACATCATCAGTTGATGCTGCGAAAATGATTCAGGTGCTTAATAGTTTCTTGATAATGCTAGTTTTTTTTGTTAAAAAATAGTTCCTCTGATAACTTCACTTTACCTTGGGTCACATCTCTTTTTTCTTTCTTTATAACGTTTGTGTTGTGGAAGTATAAACCTGGGTACAAATATCCAGCTACTTCAATTGATCTTCTCCTTGTACTACTTTTGTTTGTTATTCTTCTCTTTTCTTTTATTAGGGTTGATTTTCCGTTGCGTATCTTTTGCATATGACTTGAAACACCTTAGGTGCATGACGTTTGGCTTATTGCATATCCTTTCTACTCGCCTTATTGACGTTTGGCTCTCATTTCAAAATCGAAACAAAATTTGTATAGTACACTTTTCAGTACAACCACTACTTGGACTATGCAAACAGCTTTATTTGGGAACTATACTAAGAATGCCTATCCATAACGAGATATTAACTTGGCATATATTGTTAACAGGGTACATGGCGGAACAACGGACCAGAAATGAGTATGTTACGTAACCCAGTTTCTAGAGAAGCAGGAAAGCTTCCTGTTTCTCAGGTTCCTACCTCATCCCAATCTCGCTTGCCTTTCAAGGAACAACAATTAAAGCAACTTAGGGCTCAGTGCCTTGTGTTTTTAGCATTCAGGTTGCTTATTTTTCTTAATCTGCATGTTGAGTTAAAATAATATCAATATTTGTTCTAGTTGGTTGTTTAATTTTATGTTTCGTTCCTTTTTTTTCAGAAATGGTTTAATGCCAAAGAAACTGCATCTTGAAATTGCTCTCGGGAATAATTCTCCTAAAGAAGGTAGACAACTGTAATATATATATGTGTGTGTGTGAACAAAGCTATGCATTATACCAGCTCGTCTTAAGGTTTCATTATGGTGTTTCCTTTCTAAATGCTATGCTGATTATTCCATATAGGATCTATGTTTTATTGTTTCTTTATGTCCTGTTCTTATTTTTTCTCTCATGCAATAGATTGTATTTTTGAGCATTAGCCTCTTTTCATTATAACACTTAAAAATTTTTTCTTGTAAAAAAGAAAAAAACTATACATTATCATTATCACATAGTCGCTTCTTTTTATTGATTACTTTAAATGCAAATGAAGAGGGGCTTCACAAAGATGTTGATCCTAGAGGCATTGCTCAATCTTTTAATGAGGCCAGAAGTTCCAGTGAAGTCATGATGCCATCAGGAAAGTTGGATGCTGCAAGGGGAACAGGTACGATGATCCCAGGCGCTGTATCTGCCGGAAGAACCTATGAGGTTGACTCCATGAAGGAAGTAGATAATAGAAGAGAAGAGGATAACAAGGGTCCACTTTCTGATTATTCTGTTCAAGCAGAAGTAAGAAAGCCAGAAGCTGAACTAATGCGGGAAAAAGCAATTTTTCAAACATTCTTGAGCACTGCATCGCATCCCCTTGACTTTTCGAGTGCAAGGGGGAGCTTAACTGCAAATAACCCTCTTGAGGATTTGGGGAATAGCAATCTTCTGATTGGACAGACCAATCAAGCCACTGCTACAGTGGGTATGAGTAAGCCACTAAACCCTAGAATTGACAGCACAAATGAGGTTTCTAGGGGAAGTCTACCAGCTTTTGCTAGTCAGCATGAGCTGGTAGTTGATAGACATAATGATGCATCTGCTCAGTTTCACGTTGTTAGAAACAATAGTGGTTTAGGGAGTCAACGTACTAATAGTCGGTCTTCTTTTTGAATAGGGGAGCGGTGGAAACCTATCTCTGGGACGTATGATCAATACCATGCTGTAATGCCTTTGAGAGATGCTAGTGTGATCTCAAATCTTGCACCTCATGGTGAGTTCTTTTTGCAGAACTTTAATTCACATGGGTTGAATGGTTCTTACTGAATGTTATGAATCTTCATTGTAGATTATAGAAATATGCCAGAATCTGAACCTAGATGCATCACAGAAATGCACAAAGTGCCATCTGTAGATGAAGGGATAAATGGCAGCCTAAATACTATGGAACAAGAAAATGATGGTAAGTCAGTGCCATCTGATTTGCCGATGTCTCGAAAGTACACCATGTCAGAGAAATGGATAATGGATCAGCAGAAAAAGAAACTCCTAAATGAGCAAAATTGGTTACTGAAACAACAAAAAACTGAGAAACGTATTGCCACTCGTTTTGATAAGTTAAAGGTTCGTGTGCAACTCAGTTTTTCTCTCTATTTCCATTCATTGTTGATGCTGAATTGAACTGTAGTTAATGCCTCTGGGATATTGCTGGAACTTGTAGTTTGAAAATGATTTTCATTGATTATTCTTGATTGGAAGGCATTTTTGTAAGTAGTTTCTTTGGGTGGGACACCCTTTGGTTGTCTTTCCAGCTTTATAATATCTCTGTTCTTTCTTATAAAAAAAAGATTTTTCATCGATAATGATCTGGCACATTTAGTTCGTTTCGTTTCTCATGTATCATTTTCCTTTCCATACTTTTCAGAGTACTGTCAGCTCATCAGATGATATATCTGCAAAAACTAGAAGTGTAATAGAATTGAAAAAACTTCAACTCTTGCAGCTTCAGCGTCGCCTCAGGAAGTAATAACTAGTCATTTCTCATGAGTTGTCCTCTAGTTTACATTCATTGCTATTATTTCTTCTTTGATTAATCTTTCTGATGAATTTTGAAAAATCTTGGCAGTGATTGTCTAAATGATTTCTTCAAACCAATTTCGAATGAGATGGACCGCTTGAAATCTTTCAAGAAGCACAAACATGGTAGGAGGATTAAACAACTTGAAAAATTCGAGCAGAGAATGAAGGAGGAGAGGCAAAAGAGAATACGAGAGAGGCAAAAGGAGTTCTTTGGTGAGATTGAAGTTCACAAGTATGTGGTGCCCTATCTAATGCAGTTTTTGTCTATACTTTCTTAAAATTAAACCTCAAATGGCTTAATTCCATGAATGAAAAACAAATTCTGATGGATTGAAGTTAAAAGTTGTTCAAATCTTGCTTATTGTTCGTCAACTCTTTATTCTAGGGAAAGACTTGATGATGTATTTAAAGTTAAGAGAGAGAGGTGGAAGGGTTTCAATAAGTATGTCAAGGAGTTCCACAAAAAGAAGGAACGAATTCATCGTGAGAAAATTGACAGAATCCAACGTGAGAAGATTAATCTTTTGAAGATCAATGACGTCGAGGGGTATCTGCGAATGGTGCAGGTTTGTCTCGTCTTTGATGATTACTAGCAATCAAAGGGGTAGTCATCATTCTTCTTCATAATATTTCCTATCATGAATAAATATTTCTACAGTGCATTACTCGTGATTTCAGTCTTTATTTATAAGTTGTAAAAAATTTTGTGTAAATTAAAAAGGGGCTGAAGGAAATTCAAAATTTTCTCCCTTGAAGCAAAATCAGATTTTGTAGACTTTTCTTTTTCTCACTCTATCAATTCACTTCTTGTGCTAGGATGTGAAATCGGATCGTGTTAAGCAACTTCTCAAGGAGACTGAGAAATATCTTCAAAAGCTTGGATCTAAGCTACAGGAGGCGAAGTCCACAGAAAGCCGGTTTGGGCATGATACAGATGATGGATGTGACGTGAATACTGCTGAAAAAAGTGAATTTGCTATCGAGAATGAAGATGAAAGCGATCAGGCAAAGGCAAGTGGTTTTCTTCTCACCTTCTTGCATTTGTTTTTGTCTTATTGACTGATTACATTGATTCTTCTTACAGCATTACTTGGAAAGTAATGAGAAGTACTACTTGATGGCTCATAGGTGACGCATTACATGCTTTCTTCTTCCCCCACCCCATGCCCAAAACAAATTTTGACCAGTGCTTTGAAAATTAGCTCATTAACAACGAGATATTGTTAATTTGTTTCTGATATCTTATATGAATGTTCTTTTACAGTGTTAAAGAAAGCATAGCTGAGCAGCCAGCCTGCCTTCATGGAGGAAAGTTGAGGGAGTGAGTATCATGCTTTTCCTATCATCCCCTCCTGTTTAGTTTTATCTCAAAATTAAAACTATTTGTGGCAATATCTTTTTCGTACGTACTTTAGTTCTTTGATTTTCGGAACTCATATGATCTAAGAACAAAAAAAGCCAGTGCTTGGGCCATTCTAAAATTCTTTGTGAATGTGGCAATACAAATTTTAGGTATCAGATGAATGGCCTTAGGTGGCTCGTTTCGTTATACAACAACCATTTGAATGGAATTCTTGCTGATGAAATGGGGCTTGGAAAAACTGTTCAGGTACCATACTATTTTAAGCTGCCTTGTATGCGACTAGATCTAGCTTCTGCATCGTTCCGTGTTACTAACAGGGGAATTTCCAGGTAATTTCCCTGATCTGTTATTTAATGGAGACTAAGAACGATCGAGGTCCATTTTTGGTGGTTGTACCGTCATCAGTTTTACCTGGATGGGAGTCAGAGATCAACTTCTGGGCCCCAAGTGTGCTTAAAATTGTGTATTCTGGACCTCCAGAAGAGCGGCGCAGACTATTCAAGTAATGATTTCCATATGTTCTCTCTTGAATCCTTGTTGGGTAATTCATAAACTTACCTGATCATTATTGCAGGGAGAGAATTGTTCATCAGAAGTTTAATGTACTTCTGACCACATATGAGTATCTGATGAACAAACATGATAGGCCAAAATTAAGCAAAATTCATTGGCACTATATTATAATTGATGAAGGCCATCGCATAAAGAATGCTTCATGCAAGTTGAATGCTGATCTGAAGTACTACCGTAGTTCTCACAGATTACTCTTGACCGGGACACCGCTACAGGTCACAGTCGTTGTTAATGCTCTTCTCGTTTTCTTTACAGCTTGGGGGAATATTCCTTCAATCTGATTGCACGGACATTCTTTGGTTTAGTCTCTATCTTTTTCTTGAGTTAATTATATTTTGATCATGAACAACTGAACCTAAGCCTTTCCTTTTGGGGGGCATTATGATTTGAAATATTTTAGATCCCGAAATCAAGCATTCAAATATATTACATTCTTAACGTCAAGTCGCAGTAGCCTCACTGTCATAAAGAGCTTAAATAATGAAATTTACTCGGGAAATAGTTGAAATTTCTTTTGGGTTGTAGTTGCTGGCTTATTTTGAATCCATTCTGTGCAGAACAACCTTGAGGAGCTTTGGGCATTACTGAACTTTTTGTTGCCAAATATTTTTAATTCATCAGAGGATTTTTCTCAGTGGTTCAACAAACCATTCCAGAGTAATGGTGATAGTTCAGCCGAAGAAGTAATTCCTAAATTCTGCAACTTCTCTTTACAATTCAGTTCCTTTTGTCTCTCACTTAAATTTTTAAACTTTTCTTTTTGGAAAGGCCTTGCTTTCTGAAGAGGAGAATCTTTTGATCATAAATCGACTTCACCAAGTTCTTCGCCCGTTTGTTCTTCGGAGGCTTAAACACAAGGTTTGTTTGAACAAAAATTATGTACAGTACATCCTTTTGTTTTCATAAATTTTCACTGTTTATTGGTGCTTTATTGCCCTTTTTATGGAAGAATCATTCTATTTTCTCATGCATCCCCTTCAGTATTCTGCTATTTATTATGATGTAATTGTAACAATAAATATTAAGTTCTTTTGGTCTGAACGTGAAAATGCTGGGTAGTTTTTATGTATGGAAGAATTCAGAGAAATATTTCCTTGTTATCACGTATTTAGGTTCTTGTATTCTTGCTTGCAGGTGGAAAATGAACTGCCAGAAAAGATTGAAAGACTTGTAAGATGTGAGGCTTCTGCATATCAGAAACTTTTGATGAGGAGAGTAGAGGATAACCTTGGTTCAATAGGAAGTACAAAGGTTCCTTCACTCTATGTTCTACTTATTTTTCGAGAAGAAATTGTAATTCTAACTTCTATGATAATTCAATTGTTACCTACACTCCCTTACACATATTCTCCCTCCAGGTCCGATCAGTGCATAACTCGGTGATGGAGCTGCGTAATATTTGTAACCATCCTTATCTAAGCCATCTTCATGCAGAGGAGGCATGTCTTTCTTTTCTTTCAATGCAAAGTATCTATTGAATGGTTTTTGGATAAACAAATTGTCTCAGCACCCACTTCCCTGTATTCCTGATTGAGCGTTTTATCCTCACAGTCTTTTCATTTTGACGATGCACAACCTCGAGTTGGAAGCTTAAACTACCTTATTTCCTGCTTGGTGGTATTTATCCTGAGAAATTTCTGTATTCTTGTGTAGGTTGATAATTTGATACCTAAGCATTACCTGCCGCCAATTGTTAGGCTCTGCGGAAAGCTTGAGATGTTAGATAGAATATTACCAAAGCTAAAAGCAACTGATCATCGGGTAAGTACTTGTATGGACAATAACAAGATACAATTCTGATGAGAATTCAATGCTTAAAGATATATTACTTCTTTTTTCCTCTAGTCAGACTAGTTTATTGTCTATGTCAATGATTTCAATTCAGAACGAGCTTTTGTTCTGTTTGTCACCTTATATCCTTCTGTTTTGTTTCAATCTCTCTAATAGACTAATATTGTTGCAGGTTCTCTTCTTTTCCACCATGACTAGGCTGCTCGATGTTATGGAGGAATATCTTCACTGGAAACAGTATCGATATCTACGATTGGATGGACATACAGCCGGGGGAGATCGTGGTGCTCTCATTGAGTCATTTAATGGGCAAAATTCTCCCTATTTTATATTCCTTCTTAGGTAACTTTCATATTGTCTGTCTGATCTGTTCTTCTTATGAATATTCTTGTCTCCATTCTCAAGTAGCATGTTCCTGTGGTGTCAGCATTCGAGCTGGTGGTGTGGGAGTGAATCTCCAAGCTGCTGACACAGTGATTATTTTTGACACAGACTGGAACCCACAGGCATATATATCCAAATTTCATGATATTTATGTCAAGAATCTGCTGTAGCTTTTGTTCTGAATTTTGTTCACTGTGCATGTTGTCAGGTTGATCTACAGGCACAGGCAAGAGCTCATAGGATCGGCCAGAAGAGGGATGTGCTTGTTCTTAGATTTGAAACAGTAAGTAGCTCTTGTTGAGAGGGGGATCTCTCTTCCCCCGGCCCCTAGGCTATTCTATCTCTTGAGTAATGCTATTTGCAAGTTTCTTATTAAAAAGAACATTTGATATCATGTGATAACTTCGTCACTAAAACCAATCGCAGAGCTTTTTCTATAATCAACATTTTGTTTCTTCGTTTCTTTTCTACCTTTTTCTGTTCTTAGTTGCTTGATTCAATCTGATGGGTTAGTATCCCTTTATCTTTTCGTGGTTTGTAATTGAAAATGTGGATATTGTCATCCTGATCTTTCTTTTATGTCCATCTCCAGGTTCAAACGGTGGAAGAACAAGTGAGAGCTGCTGCAGAGCATAAACTTGGAGTGGCTAACCAGAGTATTACAGCCGGCTTTTTTGACAACAATACAAGGTTGGTAGCTCTTTTATAAAAATTCATGTTGTTCTTGAGGCACTAATTGCTTTTGTCCCATTTATTACTGCAGTGCTGAAGATCGAAGGGAATATTTGGAATCTCTTCTACGCGAGTGTAAGAAAGAAGAAGCTGCACCTGTACTAGATGATGATTCTCTGAATGATCTCTTAGCACGCAGGTACACCTACATCGACCCATCCCCATTGCTTTATATTTTATGCTGCTGATTATATGACCCTCAAAGTGCAATAAGGAAGGAAACCATAGTATATTGACCATTGTCTTCGTGTTCACAGTGAGCCAGAGATTGACGTGTTTGAAACAGTGGACAAAGAACGACGAGAGCATGAGATGGTATGCAAATCGACACTCTTTATGTCTTCTACTTTATTCATACTGTGTTCACTTCTGAACATTAATTTTTCAGGCCACATGGAAGAAGCTGGTTGTTGGTCATGGAATTTCTGAGCCTATTCCTCCCATGCCTTCACGTCTTGTAACAGATGATGACTTGAAAGAATTCTATGAAGTAATGAAGATAACTGAAGAAGTACCAAAACCTAGGGAGGGAGCCCAAGTCGGGGGGGTAAAGAGGAAGAGCGAATATCTTGGAGGTCTCGACACCCATAATTATGGGAGGGGGAAGCGGGCAAGAGAGGTCCGGCAAAGTGTTTTTAATACTTGTGAATTTGTTATACCTTAACTCTTCTGGCTGTCATTATATTTTCATTTATTTCCATTGAACTTTCTATTTTAATAGGTGCGATCCTATGAAGAACAGTGGACAGAAGAGGAGTTTGAAAAGATGTGCAAGGTTGACTCGCCTGAATCCCCGGGGCCAAAGGAAGCTGTAGCAGGAGAATCGTCAACCAGTATTAGTGGGCCAGTTGTAGGAGATGTTTTGAAGGAAGAACTTCCTGCTGCCTCCCCTTTGCCTCCTGTTGAGCCTATGGCTCAGCATCAAACACCACCCTCAAGGCGAGGTCGTGGAAGACCAAAAAGAGCGGCTGTCGATAAGTCGCCTGCTCCAGTGGTTTCTCCATCTCCTTCCATGGCAGACGACGTGGACACAGGGTTGCAAGGAGAAACTATTTCAAGCATTTCTAAAAGTGGCGGTCTTGATTCTTTGCCTAGTGAAGGAACAACTTATCAACTTGCTAAAGAGATTTCTGCAAATTCTCAGTTAACTACCCCTGTGCCTTCTATAATTCCTGCCTCTGAGTCGGCACCAGCTTGCTCTCCTGCACCAGTTCAAGTGAAAGGTCATGGTCGAAAAACTCAAACTGGACAACAACCTCCTAGAAGAAGGGGGAAAAAACAGGGGCTGGTCCCACCTCCTGTTCCTGGTAGCCTATCCTCTGATGTATGTCAAGATGACCAGGGTAAATCCACAAACCCAGTGGCAAGTCAAGTTAATGTTGCAAGTGACATTATTTCTAATGCGTCTGCCACCCAGCTTCCCTCTGGTTTACCTGGTTCTGGCCCTTCAAAACCTGTCACTGGACCTAATGATCAACCGGCTGTTGAGGTATTATCAAATTTGGAACCTTGTCCTGCTTTTCCTTCTGTGCCATCTCTCTCACAATTTGCTCCTTATTTCAATCCTCAGCCTGTACAGCCTAGAGGACAAAGTCGGAAGACGCGAAGTGCAGCTGGAGCACCACGGCGTAGAGGAAAGAAACAAGTAGTAGCAGCTGCATTGCCCAACACCATGGCGGGTGCTAGTCTAAGTTCGAATGCAGATTTGCAAATGAACCATATTGATTCTTCTTTGAGTACTGTCAATCAGGAAGATAAACTGGAAAATAAGCCCAATAAGAGCAAGGAGACAATCAGCCTATCAACTTGTGGTAGTACCATGGAACCACAAGGCAAGTATTTAGATAGACTTCAGCATGTGATCATTGTCTGCTATGTTTATCAATCTACTTTTAAATTCTATGCAGGGCCTACTCCTGAACAAAACCAAAATGCTGATTCTCGTGGAATTTCTAATGTGATCAAGGAGGCTTCTTCTGGAGATTGCGCGTCCAAAGCAAACCCTTCTGAGCACTTGAGTAAGAGTCGTGCGGCCCAGGATGCAACTGTAACAAATAATCGTGTTGATGAAACACTGAAGAGTCATAGCTTGCGAGACACAACTCATCCAGTTACATCAACTCCAGAAACTGCAGTTCCAACATGTGGTCCTCCTGACGTTTCTGTTGCTGTCGGGATGAGTCCCAAAGCTGTAACAGATGTTGCTAGAGAGACTGCTCCTATTTCCCAGCCAATTCATTCGTCCGCATCAGTGGCTTCAAGCGTGCAAATTGCATCTCAATGTCCACCACCCGTATATGTGGAACCTAAACGGCAAGGTCGTAAGACTGCTAAAAGGGTAGAGCCCTCTCAGCGTAGGGGAAAAAAACCGGCCTCATTGCCTTCTGTCGTTCTTGATGGTTCAGCTGGCAAGGAATCTAAAGATTTGAATGTGCTTGTGCAACCAGGGCCATTGGGGGATTCAAGTTGTAAAGACATAGGCCTAATAGGTAAAACTGAGACTGAGAATCAAGAATCAACCAATGTTCAGAATCACGCAGGTTGTACCCAAATTATAGATACTGTGGATTCCCAGGATCTGAAAAGAAAGGAGCAAGTACCCAAACCTGCTCAACATAAACAGCTTTTGGCATCATCAACAAAGATTGATGCTACTGGAGCCTTGGACAAGACCTCTGCATCAGGCCGTTATCAAACTGCAAATGTAAATGACGTTGCTCGGGTAATGAAGGAAGTCTTCTCTGGGACTGGCTTGTCAAAAGCTAAAGTTGGAGCGTTGTCTGAGATTGAAAACAAGGATGCTTCTGCGATGCCTGTTTTGAGCAAGTCCTCTATGGAGGTGACCAAAAGTCATAAATCAGAGGCTATTTTAAATTCCAACATTCCAGTTGAGGCCCATGAAAAAGAATATTCAGTTGTAGCTAATGAAATGAGACCAGATTCTGCAAATGCTTTAGAAGAATCTATCGTTCCGAAGATCGATGATGACAATTCTGGATGTGCGAAGGCTGATTCAGTAAATAAATTGGTTGAATCAAGAGAAACATATGATGGATGCTCAACTGCGGTAAGTGTTGTGAGATCCATTTCCCTTTGTCCTCTTAGTACTGATCAAAATAAAAATGATATTTGCTAGAGATCTATGCCTTTCTTTGAAAGAACCTCTTAAATCTTTTTGTCCTCAGGTTAGTGGCTCTGCAATTTCATCAAACTTCATCAATGCTGATCATAATCCCCCAGAACCCTCGCCTATTTTCTCAAGTCTGGGTGTTTCCAATGCATCAAAGGCTCCTGAGGTGATGGATAATGTATTGGAAAATGAAGCAAACCCTGTTAGTGGAGGATCTTTAAAATCTTCTCCTGATAGAAGCAACTACAAAGTTCCCTCGTCTTCGAAGAACGATGGAATAAATCATCCTGCTCCTTCGAATAACATGGCAGAACTGCCTTTGGAAGAGCCTTCAGAATGCCCTCTTGATATGTCAAGTAGATCTCATACTACAGTGACCGTTGCCACGACTACTGTTGAAAATGCAGAAATTTCTGCTAACCAAGCTCATCCAAGTCAATCGAAAACTCTTGATGATCAAAGACTAACTTCTGTGGACTGTCCCTGTGAACCGGCCTCTGATATCACAAAGGAAACTCTTGACGTGGAGGGATTCTCAGAACCATCAGAATTTGATCATACAAGTCTTGAATGTCCTGCAACCACATCCATGCCTGAAATGTTGGGTCAATGTTCGATTGACTACTCTCCTGAGAAGATAGGCATGGATTCTGGCAGAGGTGATAATTCTAAATTTTCTTTTGAAGTTCCAGTTGAATTTATCAAGGCATCTAACAACACAGAACCTTATCATGCAGCTGTTGAAACTTTAAAAGCAAGACCTGCGAGGCAAGATTGTCCCAGTGTATCTTCTGGTACAACAGAGAATACAACGATGAACGAAACGGTGTCTGTTCGTGCTGCAGTTAAGATGGAAGGTGATCTTAGACCTGTTATGATTGTTGAAACTTCGACGGAGAATCCTGGTCAAGATTGTCATAGTGTCTGTCAAAGTCTCTCAGCTCATCGTGAAAATCTCGAATATCCAGATGTTTCAAATTTTAATGAGAGTTCCGACTCAAGTATGCCAGGTGCTGAAATTGAAGTTCAAGGGCGTGTTTCTGTAACTACTATGAATATTGAGAGTAAACATAAAGAAGTGAATGATACTGATCCTGCTGTTGAACAAATGGATGCTGCCTCGAAGCAGGGGAGGTCTAGTGGTAGTCAAGATCTTTCAAACGCAGGTGCACCTAATCTGGTGGAGCAAACATCGGGAAATAAATTAGAGGTTGCTTCAGAAGAATTGCCAACTTTTCCTTCATCTGATCATGGAAGCGTTCAAGTCCTCGAAGCTTCTGCTGGAAGTTCTGATGGTAGAGGTTATGCTGTGGAGCCTGATTTGCTAACTCCTAGAGTTGAGGCTGCGGAATGCACTTTCAAAACTGATTTTGAAGGTCAGAAAACATCATTAAATGATAGTAGTAATTGTATTCCGGATGAGAATTTGAAGGTATCAGATCATGTCGAAGAAAATGCCGAATTTGTTAATCCTGAGAATGTTCCTGAGAAAAGCATTCTGATTCCTCGGATTCAGGATAATGAAGGTAACCAAGCTGACAACCATGGTGCATGTCTCAGGGATATGGATATCTCCAATTCTGATGCTGTTGTTCAAATGGACGTTTATGACGAAAAACGTGTATCAGAAGGTAAAACTGGTGATATGGTTCTGCCATCAGCTTCATTGCAGGGAGGGGAAGAAAGTTGTTCTTTCACATCTGTGGGAGATCAAGTTGATAAGTTAGGGAATCAGGAGGAACCCAACAAATTTGGAGTTAAAGGGTCTCCTGGGGAGAAAAAGCAATCCGATCCTCTAGTCGAGTATGTTCTTGGAACTTCGGCACAATCTTTATCTTCTTCCGAAGTTAAGGATTCGTATACGATGACATTGCTTGATACAAATTTAGATAATTCAGGTGATCAAACTGATTTACCTGTATCCTCGTCCACGGTGACAGACAGAGAAAAGATTGGGGATTCTTCCAAGGATGATTCGTGTGGCTGCACGGTCACAGATTCAGTAGAAGCTCTCGAGGATAGTGGATTATTAACAAATGAGATGTCGGATGTTTCGGTTGTGCCTGCTTCATCGTCTCAAATGGAACCCATTAGCTCCCCAGTCTCTCTGGAGGGGCCAAGTGATTATCAAGGTAGTGACCATATGGTTGCAACACAGGATAACATTGTTTTGTCCAAAAACGTATCGTCTGAGGAAGACAAGCTGCGAAACTCGTTCGAGAAAACCTTATTAGATAGTGCAGACCCGTCGGAGGATTGTAAGGAGTCTGATATTAGCAGCAAGGGACAGCTTTTAAGCATCACTGAAAACCTCCGCTTCAATGATCCTTCCAATCATCTAACGGTATCAAAGAAGTTGGAAGCTTCAGCTGGTGATCAGACAGGGGATGTTCCGCAAACAGGGGAGGTTGTATCAGTAAATGCAGCTGATACCTTTACTCAGTCCGCACCTCCAACAACCATGGAAGAAGAAAAGTCCAATGCCTTACTCGACAGTGGTCTAATTGCTAGCTCATCATCACAGCCACTGAACGACATACAAGGTTCTCAGTCCGATACAGATCCAATGGATTCTTCTCAAGCTGGTGTGGTTTTAGAAAAGAATATATCAGGAGAAACAATTGTGTCTTCGTCTTCTCCGGTTTCAGAGGAGGTAGGAGCAGATCTAATGCAATCTGTTGCTGAAGTTCAGACGATTGACCAAACCGATGCATCTGAGGTTGGTCCCTCGCCCAAAAAAAAAAACGATAAATAAAAAGATTACGACCTTACATTGTCATTGTCGTTGGAGACATTGTTATGATCTGTTATTTAATTGGCATATTACTGTGTAACTCGCATTTCAGGTGGGGGAGCCTTCTCTAGAGAAGGCTGTAACAGAAGTAGCCAATCCTCCATCCTCTCTACCTGCTGAAACTGAAATTATGGAAAGCTCACAAGTTCCAAGTTTGATCGATAGCGCCATTGCAGTTGTAGAAGCAGTCGTACGCGACGAAGCCGATGATGTACTCACAGCAAATGAAAGGTGCCAGTCAGCAGGTGGCTCATCAGTGCAGGATCCGGCTGATAGCATTGCAGATGTAGAAATGGTCATATGTGATCAAGCTGATGTTCCTCCAACCGGTGACACGGCACAGGGTGCAGTTGATACAATAGCCATATGTGCTCAAATTGACGTACCTCCGGTTTGTGATACGGCGCAGGATCCAGCAGATAGCACTACTATACGTGATAGAGTCGATGTACCTTCAGCTTGCAATGCAGCACAGGGTATAGCTGATACTGCTGTTGAATGTAATCAAGTCGATGTACCTCCAGCTTGCAACTTGGTCCAGAGTCCGACTGATAGCGCCACTGCAGCTGCAGAAACTACCATAAGCGATCAAGTCGATGTTTCCTCCAGTTTGACTCTGCCAGAAAATGAATCTGCAAATTTGGACCTGCCTCCTAGCTGTTCAGAAGTAGAGGACGAAAGCATCGAGCACCGACTGTAGGGAACTCGAGTTAACAAGAGTTCAGTTGAATCAGAATCAGAGGATCCAAAGCAAAGTGAATGAAGGAAGGTTTCTTCTGTACATTTTTTTTGTATTCCCATGCTATATAAGTTTATCCTACGGGGGAAATTGTAGGTTAAGTTCATACGAATCTCTGCTATTATTTTGCTTTAGATATTGTGTGTGTATATAATTATATGAAAATTACGGCTTTAGGATACAAAAGCAGTTGCCAGAAAGCATTAAAGTGGTGGCACATTTCTTCTAATCAGCAGAAACCAACTCATCAGACTCGAAACCAAAATCATCAAAAATGAAATTAACTCAAGAAAAATGTAATCGTTTCGGCCCGAACTTACTGGTTAATATACTCAAACATGACAAGTTTTTAATAAACCTATGGTATCATCAAATACAGCCACTCAGACATATTCAAGAGTAAAGTCGAAACCCACAGCTGAACCCAAAATTGTAGATCCAGTAAAGGACAGGTCAAGAAGTAGTCTACCAGCATTCATTCACATCAAGTTAACAGCTTGAGAAACACCACGATTACACTCACTGTTCTTCAATCCACAACTCAAGTCCAGCCCTCCAGACTCGCATATAATAAAGTGAATTCTTTAAGCAACTGCATGGCATGGAATAGCATACTTCATTGGGCCACAACCGAAGGCGCTAACATATCTTCAGGAAGCTCCGTGCAAACCCAAATGCATCCATCAGCGAGGACTGCAGAAGTAAGATTGCAGGGTGTTAGTCAACTTTATAAATTCTTCAATCAACCAGCTGAAAGGACTACCGGCTAAACACAACTATACTATGGACACCAGGAGAAATGTTCAATAACGACAAATCGAACTCAAAAACTTTGATATTCCTAACTAAAGCATATCATTTCCTTCCTGCCCCTTCAATGAATTAATCAATGAACGTCTGTTAGGAAATATCACAAGCTTCTTAAGTACACCAAATTTCATCATAAACAATTTTTATTTTCTATGGTCACACATACATATTGTAAATCTATTGATATCTAGCATAGGGCCTCCTTAATCCACTTGGACATTTCACGTGAATCACCAAGGAAAAAGTAAACAGTAATAAAAGCTTTATTTATTTAGTTTAAATAATCACATGAATCTTGAAACTTGAAACTACCAATACAAATGGTACGCATAAATCAACTTTTCAGCAAGCAACACTACAAAATGGTTCCCTGCATAGATCCACTTATTCTAACTTGGGGACATTTGTCTTTTAGAAAGTCAGTAAAAGGAACTTGAAAGGTAAAATACCTATAGGATCGTGAACGAGATCCAGAAGGACTGCGGCTAGCAGACCTTGGACTCCTTGACCCACTGCGTGCAATGTTCACTTCACGAGAGCTCCGACCATTCTCCTTTGGCCTCGGAGATTGGCTGTAATCCCGTTTGTCATGAGGGAAACGAGATTGTGAAATTGACCTAGATCGTGCAGGAGAGTAATGCTCGCCCCTTGCCCCATGGTTCCTGCATCAGCCACAATGATGGGAAAAGATTAATAGTCAAATAAATTAACATATCGAACAGATAAGACTTCCATTCAGACTTAGAACAGCAAAATATGACCATCTCTCTCTGTAACAGGAAAGGAAGCCTGTCCGAGCAGTCTTCAAGGGCTCCGATGAGGTAGGTTAATAGGTACTTATGAAACTATATCATACTTTTATATGCAGAAGTTTGTATTAACATCATTTTCAAAACTTATCAACAAAACATGACTTTTACCTGCACCAATTTCAGGTTTCCGAACAAAATTATGACAAGTAGATCCAAACACTGAGAATTATGCTCTATTAAGCTGTATTGGCTGATCAGCTTCTGACAAGCTCATAGCTTTCTTTGCCCCAACTTTCTAAAAATCACATTATCTTTTCTTGCACAATGTCACCATACCACAACCAGTAAAACTTTGGCCTTACTCCTTTGAAGATGAATTCTTTCTTTGGCCACTATAAGCTCTAATCTTTCTTAACTGGATGGTATATGAAAAAGAAGAAATCAAACTTAAAAATTGCTTGCTAATTAATCGTTGAGATTTGCAAGGGAGGAAAAAAGGAAAAAAGAAGTAGAAATTGATTTGAAACTCTCAACAATGCTTAATTTCTGCCTCACAAAGAAAATGTCAACAAACAGATAAAAACCAGGCAACTAAAACAATTGAGTAAATTATAGACTGTACACATGGAGAGGGTTCGATGGGTAAAGTAGGCAAGTTGCCAATCTCTTTATGAGCGCTTTTCTTGTTAAACTTTATAAATCAACAACTCTCTAAAGTCTCCCTTTACACTTTAATATCTGCATAAACAAGGAATTAAGTAAATCGTATACAATATCCTGCAATGCAACTCTGCATACTATGTAGGGAGTAGAATATTCCACGTGCACCACATCAAACATTAAATTTAATCACTTTGTTTAAACATGATAACATTCAAGCAAATGAAATAAGAAGTCTACCATTAAAGCACGTAGAAAAACAAAAAACTAAAAGTGTGGCTTAGAATTTATATATTGGACTGACATTATAACCATAATGGAGAAAAGAAGATTAAAAGTGCCATTATTGTTGGACTACGACACCAATATTAATCTGCAACTGAAACCATACCAGAGTACCACTTGGATTTACTAACAACACACATCACAACATGAAATATGAACAAAGTAATTCATCCATTAGAAATGGATTGTGTTTCTTAGAATTGACACACGATTGATAACTTTAAGTAGTTCTTTAAAACAAAATGGAATTCATGAGGGATCAGGTTGAGAAAATAGAATTACGATGTGCTAATCAAAATATTTCTCACATTTTTTTTTATGGGAAACAAGGAAATCAAATAATCATCAAAAGATGAAGAACACAGCCAAAAGGTCTTAGGGATGCAGAATCCCGAAGCCTAAAACAGTGATACAAAAAAAAAAAAAAAAAAAAAAAAGGCCTCCAATCTTGTATTACAAAAAGATTTGTGTAAAACACTCTAAGTAGAGGCAGTAAACTGAACACTTAAACAAAAAAGAATTTACAGACAAAATCCTTTTGGTTAGACTAAAAATAAAAACAATGAACAAGTGCTTCAATGGAGGTTTGTATAAGACAAGCACCAAAATTCAAAATATTATACTATGTTTCTCATCCATAAAGAATGTTTTGACAAGATTAGTACACAAATATATGGTTCAAAGAAGGCATGCACGGCTTTCTAATTATCAAGATACAAACAAACAATGTTTCAAAACATGGTAGTATCAAGCAGTAATAGAAATAGCAGAACAATAATAACGTTAGTGTTGCCAGTAATAGAATGAGTGAGACAAATAAGATCCAACCTTGAGTCATGCCTGGCAGGTGAAGGTGAGCGTGAGTAAGCTGCAGTCAAATAGAAAAAGCTTATTGAGCACAAAATGAGCATGTACTTACAATATTGCATCACAATGATGTTGATCAAACATCAACATTAACCAAAATACAATTTCTTCTTTTTAATGAAAGTCAGAAAAAAAAATCATGATAAATGAATTGACACTAACAACGATTTCGACGTCTAGGAGACCTTCCTGGAGAACGCCTTCTGTAGCTTCTGCCACTATATATGAGAAGCATGAAAAAAAACAATTGATATATTAGTTCAAGATTAAGAACTCCATTTTAAGAAGAAGATATTTAAACCAAAAAGGTACTGCAAAATAGAAGTTAGAAGGAAGGTCATAGAACCTTGAGCGTGAAGTCGATCGCATTTCTTGAGGAGTTTTTCTGTTCTCCTCAGCAAAAACAATTCGTATCTCCCGTCCACCTATAACTGTATGATTTAGCTGTTGTTTTGCTTCAATTGCATCTTCTGAAAATCGAAACTTCACAAATCCAAATCCTCGGGGTTCCCTAAAAATAGTCAATGAAGGAAATTATATCATCATGAAACAAAAAAGTAGACAACAAAATAGATCATTACTAAAAATATTTCAGAACACAACATGAACAAAATTCCACTAATTCAAAACAAGAGAAATCCAAACCCACAATATTACACGAGAAGCATTACTAATGTTCAGGCCCAAATTTAATGCAAAACCACTATTAAAACCACAGTGATGTCAATTTAATTAATTTTCACTTTGGTAGAGGCAAACTTTGAAACTCCAACGATGCTCGGAAATTCTGATCTCGCAACTTAATCTAAAAAATAATTTTGATTTTCTCAAAATTTTCTTTCACGACTTTTGTAGCCAAAACTCTATTTTCGAGCGTTGATAACCTGATAATTAAGAGAAAAAGGTACCAGGAAACATAAATCAGTTTCTTCAACACCCAATTGCGCACAAGTTAACATGAATGCGACCATACCCAGTGTAGTAGTTCTTCGGCAGATACACATCCTTAACAGGACCAAATCGCTCAAACGGGGTCCTAAGATCTTCCGGTCTGTATGGAGTGCAATCAAAACACTAAACCATTACTCTTCATAATTTATAGATTGGATAGACAGCAGAAACGAGAAAACAACACAGTGAAGAGCGATAGCACAAAGCTTGACAATAAGTTACTTGATCCACTCCACATATAACTGCTAATCAAAATTACTACAACAAGCCGCAATTCCCTACAGCCCCAAATTCGAAACTTTAAACAAAGGACCACGATACTGTATGTACAAACGCGGAAGCTAAGCCATTCAATTCCTCCAACAAACTAAGAAAATGGTACATTGGCAAGAACACAGAAAGATGAAAGAAGAACATGAAATACCTAGCGTCAAGGGGGAGATTACGCACGAGTAATCCAGAAGGAGCAGGAGAGCGACGGTCCCTGTAAGACCTGCTTTCGTGGTACCGGTTTCGAGAGTCGTCGTTGTCGTCGTACCGCTTCCGCTCGCGTGGGGGGCTTCTGCTACGCCGGCGAGGACTGTAACTTCTGCTCCGGCTCCGGTACCTGGGCATAGTGGGTTGGTTATTGGTAACAAATACCCGCGAACGAAATAGCAGAAACAGTGAAAACCCAAACCCTACGTTCTAAAACCAAACCAACTTAATATTTAATTTTCATATTTATAACAATTTAATTTATATTGTAAACAAAAATATTAAAATTATAATTTTTAAATACATTGGACCCCTATCTAATTTATTTATGCCACGTAGACAAACCATTAACATTTATTAATAAATTTCACCATTATAATTTTCAAATCATTAAGTGCTAATTATTAGATACGTACTAAATCATTATAAAACAAAATTAAATAATTAAATGGTTACTTTCACAAATATTTAATTTTTTATGGTAATTTAGAGTTGTATTCAACCTCAACTAATAAATTATTAAATGGATTGAATTTATTCAATTAATAGTTAAATTAATAAAAATACCATAATTTTAGAACACGTTTCAAAAATATTCTTTATTTAAAAAATGACATTAAACTTAAAAAGTATTTAAAAAATAATTTTAAAAAGTTTAATTAACATCCTTCTAAATTTAAAAAATAAAATATATATTTAAAAAATATGAATGAAAATTTGTAATAAAAAATCTTAGATGAAAAACAAGTTATTAAAATTATTAAATTTATTCAAATAATAGTTAAATTAATAAAAATACCATAAATTTTGGAACAAATTTAAAAAAACGTCTTAAACATTTAAAAATAGCCAGTATTTAAAAAATGGCATTAAAAAATAATTATAAACTTTTAAAAAGTTTAATTATACCCTTCCAATATCTAAAAAAATAAAAAAATATATTTTTATTGCTTAAAAAATATTACCATTAATTTATTGACACTAGATTATCTCTAAACCCTATTAATGTTAATTTTTTTAATGATTAATTTAGCCCTGAATTAATATTAATTTTTTTTAATGAAATTATGGTTATTGTTTATTTATTTTGACAATATGAAATAAACTGTGGGCCCTAAAAAAGTAGAGGCCCACCACCTTGGGCTGTCTGGCTTGTAGTCTAAGCCTACAGCGTTGCCCACAACCACCAGTGAAGATATTAGGGGGTGTAGTACAACAGTACTGTCGCTCTCATTTAATTTTTTAATTTTTTAATTTTTAATTTTGTATTATTCCATCAACTAATTTACCAATTATATTAGAAAATTTGGAGTTTTATTTATTTATTTATTTATTTATTTATCTTTTAAATAAAATTAAATTTTACCCGAGACTTCAAATTAAAATTTAATAATTAAAAGTGTTAATTTAAAAATTTTCAAAAAAATAAATATAAAAATATCTATTTATTATACATATTAAATTTATAATTTCAAACGTTAAGCTGCTATAACTATAAATTACCGAAAAAAAAGAAAAGTATAAATTGGTGGGACGGAATAAATTTTCCATTTAAATTTACAAAATTATTATTTTTTTTTTTTTTTCCTCTCTCTCTGTCTAACGAGAGAATCCCACCAGAAGAGTAACAGAGCCATCTCACCCTCAAGCTTGACCTGCAAAGCTGCCGTCCCTTTTCCGCCACCTTTTCCTTCTCAACCACCAAGCCACCCACCCACCCACCCACCCTTCCATTTTCTAGGGCACATATACTACCTCTTCCATGGAACATCCTCCTCCCTCGCCGCTGCCGGAGCCCTTATACGGTGCCGCCGCCGAAATGGACCTCCAACTTCCCATCGCTGATGACTCCTCCGCCGTTCTCTGGGACTTGGGGGATCTCCTTGACTTAGCTGGCGATGATCAGTTTTCTCTCCCTTTGGAACATGACAATCTGCCCTCGGACTCCTCTCATCCACTCGAGATTCCATCCGAGACTCTCCCTTCGAATTCTGACCGGATTCGGAAGCGTGACCCGAGGTTGACTTGCCCCAATTTCTTGGCCGGGCGGGTGCCTTGTGCTTGTCCTGAGATTGATGCGATGCTTGAGGAGGAAGCCGCCGCGTCTGGGAAGAAGCGGGCTAGGACGTCGCGTGTTGCGGCTGGAACTGTTCGGTGTCAGGTGTTCGGGTGTGAGGTCGATATTAGCGAGCTTAAAGGTTATCATAGAAGGCATAGGGTTTGTCTTCGATGCGCGAATGCTACTGCTGTTGCGATAGATGGAGAGACTAAAAGATATTGCCAGCAGTGTGGCAAGTAAGTTGCGTCTGTGGAGCTTGTGTTTCGATATCTTCTGTTTTTTCATTCATTTTCAGTTAATTACGTTTGTGATCTATCGATGGTAGTGCGCCTCTTTTACTTCTCTTCGTTATATCAAATCTTGTCACGTGATCTAGTAGTTTGAACTGAATGTTCCTACTTCAACAGCTTTGTATGACCTTTAAATTGTTTCCTCAATAATGGAAGTGCTTATGTATTGAATTAATCCTAAATGCTGAGTGCGTGGTTTCCATATTTTTCCCCCTCTGGTGCATCACATGTTTATGTCGAAATACCAGAATTTTCAAGACCCAAAACAATGAAGGAGAAATTTATTTGCTAATGTTTCTTGTTTACTTCCAATTGCTTGGCAGGTTTCATCTTTTATCTGATTTTGATGAAGGCAAGCGGAGTTGTCGAAGAAAATTGGAGCGTCACAACAATCGACGACGTAGGAAGCCAGCTGATTCCACAGTTGCTATGGAAAGTGATCGAGCAGGCATGCATCTTGAAGATGTTTCTTGCGATGGTGATGCAGGGAAAGGTAATAATCTGAAGCAGCTGAAGCAGCAGAGTTATGAATCTTATAATTTCTGTATCATTGGATTTCTCACTGGCATGTTTTCTTGCAGATGATATTGTTTTCAATAACCAAACTGTTCAAAAGGAGGTGGTGCATTTGGAGTCTGAAGATGGGATGGTTACCCCCACTGTATGTTCAGCTCCCGACCTGCAGAGCAATATTGAGAGCGGGTTAACTTTTATGGCAATGGGTGAAGCTCAAGTGGATGGAGGAAAAGATAATTTCAAATCTCTTGCTTCATCCTACTGCGACAATAAAAGCACATATTCATCAATGGTGATGATTTAAAGATTTTCCCCCTCTCTATTTTCTGTTTATTTTAGGACGTAAGATGATTCCAAATCACTTTGTTATAGTGTCCAACAGGCCGAATATCATTCAAGCTTTATGATTGGAATCCTGCAGAGTTCCCTAGAAGACTTCGGCTCCAAGTATTTTAATCTCTACAGTTTAGTACTTAATGAAGAATAATTTTGTTCATCAAAGGTATTAGAATTTGGTTAATTTGAATACAAACCCGTTGCAGATATTTGAATGGTTGGCTAATATGCCTGTTGAGTTGGAGGGATATATTCGGCCTGGTTGCGTAATTCTGACTGCATTTGTTGCAATGCCAAAGTTTATGTGGATAAAGGTGATTTTGAGTTTATATTTTCAAATATAACTTTGCTTGTTATAAGTTGGTAGCATTTTTGCTTTCCTATATTCTGATGGCTGCAATTATCAGTTTAATATCAAGCTGCATACTCTTTAAGGATAGCTGATTAATCATATCCTGTAACAGCTTCCGCATGTCTGCCCCTACTCATAATTACGTTGTCTTTAACTGGAATCCTTGCCCTCATGGTTCCATGCTTCCTTTCAAACAATTATCTGAAAGCTAGTCACTGAATTTTCTTAAACTCTATCAAACTACTGGCAGTTACTTGAAGATCCTACGACACACGTGCACAATTTTGTAGTTGCACGTGGAAGACCGCTTTGGGGGAGGGGCAGCTTGCTTGTTTATTTGAACAACATGATTTTTTGCGCAGTGGAAGGTGTGTCCACAATCCATCATTTTACTCTTTTATTCATCATGAATAAGAGCATGTTTCATCACTAGTGTACTCTATATCTTCAAAAAATAAGATTCCTACAAGGCTTTGATTTTGTCCAATGACTAGAGATTGAGTCATCTTAGAAATTACTTTTTGAATAAATAGATTATTGAATTTTCTTGCAGGTTTTATTTATTAATATTTTCCTGAGGATTTTTCGTTTAATTGTACAGGGGGTAGTGTAATGAAAATTGAGATGGATATGGAGGCTCCAAGACTTCACTACGTACATCCTACATGCTTTGAGGCTGGAAAACCCATGGAGTTTGTTGCTTGTGGAAGTCATTTGCAACAACCAAAATTTAGGTATTACAATAATAGAATTATACTCACTTCATATTTTATTTGACCCCCAAAAAAGATCCTCTACGTGATTCTCCGGTCATATCTAAATTATTATCAATATCACGAGGTTTTCGGTAAAGGGAAAGAGGATTAGCTACTAACTCTCTTCTTCTTGGTTATTTGGAATTTTGGTTTTACTTCACTGTCCCTTAAATTTTCCTTTCATTATTCCTGTAATATGCTCATGGATTATCTATCCGTTTACATTTCTATATTCTTTTATCAAGTTGCAAGTTCTGTTTCTATAAATGACTTTCGATGTCTATATTTTTCTTCTTAATGGTGTTGCTTACCTAAATTTTAATACACTTTTGGATGCCTCGAGGGGAGTGGCAGCCTCTTTGGTCCAAGTCTCAAGGATTTTGTGTCCAAATGATTCTTCCGGTAAACTTAAAAGAAAAAANTCTTACTTCACTGTCCCTTAAATTTTCCTTTCATTATTCCTGTAATATGCTCATGGATTATCTATCCATTTACATTTCTATATTCTTTTATCAAGTTGCAAGTTTTGTTTCTATAAATGACTTTCGATGTCTATATTTTTCTTCTTAATGGTGTTGCTTACCTAAATTTTAATACACTTTTGGATGCCTCAAGGGGAGTGGCAGCCTCTTTGGTCCAAATCTCAAGGATTTTGCGTCCAAATGATTCTTCCGGTAAACTTAAAAGAAAAAACTCTTCGAAGTCTAGATTAATTCCTAATCCGTTGGAGTGGAGTGAGGTCCAAATACATGAATTTTCTGTATGGGTGTTATTGGTTTGGTTCGGCTTGGTTTGAGTGCCAAACCACAAAAAATATTTAGAAAAAGCATAGCTGCGCTAAATGGTAGAATACTACGTAATCAAACCACCCCATATTGCTTAACTGACAGTTTAATCAGTTTGGTCTAGCAGTGAGAAATTGCATACTTGTACGTATGGCTGGAAGGAATTTAAATAATTTGTGTACTGTGGAGTTTCTGTGTTCCATTGTATCTCTATTCATGCCGAATAAAAGGGTTCATGACCTGCACAATAAAATTCATTATATATGCTGAAGAAAGTACTTATTCTCACAGGTCACTTGTATCTTTTGATGGCAAGTATCTGGCACACGTTCAATCTTTTGTTATTCCCCATTGTCAAAAAGAAGGTATCTTTTGATGGCAAGTATCTGGCACACGTTCAATCTTTTGTTATTCCCCATTGTCAAAAAGAAGGTGATACTAAGCAGAGCAACCACCAATTGTTCAAGATATGCATACCTCACACTGAACATGATCTTTTTGGCCCTGCATTTGTTGAGGTATGTCTATGTTTTCCATCTCATGTTCTTTGATTCATTAGTGTCTCATCTTCCCCTGCCATCCTCCCCAGGCATAAACCAGATGGAAACAAGTTTTAAGAAACAATTATCTAAACTAACATCTTAACACTGCCTAAAGTTTGTCTCTTATGGGCACACATGCAAGAGAGAGAGAGAGAGAAAAGAAAGAAAGTAAGAAAGGACTATGACTGAGAAAAGAGAAAGGGAAACAGAAATTTCATCAAGTTATTAGAACCAAATTAAATTTAGACTTGTAGAGAGGTGGGATTCCACTAAGAAGGAAATATTGGTTTTGTCTCGTCTTCTAATATGTTTAAACTTGCATTCCACTCATAAACTTCTTGTAAACACGCTGTGTAGGTGGAGAATCAGTCAGGCTTGTCAAATTTTATTCCTTTACTCATCGGGGATAGTGAAACTTGTTCTGAAATGAAAACTATACAGGAGCGGCTTGATATGTCTCTGCCTGTGGAAGCTACTGGTTCATCACACAAATATTGCGAACATTCTTCATTGAGACAAAAGGTATATTCAGAACTCGTGATGGACATATCTTGGTTGCTTAAGAAGCCTTCATCGGAGCCTCTGCAGCGTATTATGAATTCGTCACAGATTCAAAGATTCACACGTTTGTTGAAATTTTTGATATCCATCGACTCAACTGTCATTTTAGGGAGAGTCTTGGAACATCTTAAGATTGTCATGGGAAATGTAGACTCAAATGTGGCAGCTAATGGCTTCAGTTATCCCGATTTAAGGTATTTTGAGAAGTATTTGGATTATGCAACAGTTCTTCAACTGAATCTTCGAAGGGATCAGGTTTCTCAAAGCTTCTCCAAGAACAAATTGGCTTCAGTTGATCCTGGGACTGGACAGGTAAGAATTTTTCTATATTTCCTGCAGGGTTAAATTTTTTCAAGATACGACTAATTTAGGTATTTTGACTCCAGTTTTGCATTCTTTTAGAAAACTCTTCTTTCTTGAGAAAAGATTACTCGTGACAAAATTTTATAACAGTCTCCTACCACCTTAAGCATCCTGGAAGATTTGAGCTATCAAATACCTCCTAGAACAGTAGTAGAATCCTATTGTGAAGCTTGAAACATGGCCTGTAAAATATTTGTTTCTAGGGAGCTGGTTGACTGTAACATTTATCATGGATTTTCATAGGAATGGCTCGGTTATATCTCTTCTGTTTGTTTTTACCTGCAGAAAATGGAGTCCGAAGAAAGTGACCATTTTCGAGCAGCGTCTGGCTCAACTTCCACCAGTAGTGTGGAAACACGACCCCTTTTGAACGAAAAGCTCCGGGAGAAGATCATGGTTCAAGAAAATTCAAGAAAGTCATGTGGTCTTCTATTCTCAGGGACTGTTTTTAGGCGCCAGACTGCTCTATTTGCAATCACCTTCGCTGCAGTTTGTTTAGGAATATGTGCAGCTTTAGTTCATTCTCACAAGGTTGGCGAGTTTGCTGTTTCAATCCGCAGGTGCGTAATCAATACTTGAAAAAGCAGTCTGCTTTGATCCATCATCTGTTCTGCTGAAATTAGTTCAAGAACTGCCAATCTGTGGCCGGCGAGGGTGAAATGAATGTTACTAGAACTCGGTTTTACTGCCAAGCCAAGAGGGTCACCATTACCTACATAGCTTTGTTGTGTTTTGAGCAAAAAGCCTCTGGATCATTATATTGTTTGATGCTGATTATTATCGTCCTACTTGGGTTCGGCCGATAGGAATTTCCCGTTAACAAGGTGGAGTTCAAAGTTCGGTTCGGGTCGCACAGGATGTCGGATTCCTAACATTAGTGCAGTTGCATCACCAGTGTCCTGTAATAATTTTCACAGCTAATAATGAATTTCTCATTCCTATGATTTCAATGAAAAGAAAAGAGCAATATTATCATCTCAAGTAAATCTAAGAATTTCTGACCATTTAAGGTGAATCTACACAAATACTTCCGGTCACTCCCGGAAAGAGTTTATATATATATACACATACTCGGATTTAATTAACCTATGACCTATCTTGGATTAAGCTCATCTAGCTTGAACCTAACTGAAACATAGAGACACTACTGGTCACTCAACCCGAACTCTTTCTTGCATTTGGTTCTAAAAAACATGGACCATCAACATCAAAACATCAATTCCTCTTCTTGAACCAAGAAATAGAACATAGGTATACCATGTATGGTGACCATGGTAGCTAGTTACCCGATCACATCATAACATGTCAATTAAGTAAGCTGTACAATCTCCTCTTGGTAAATTCTAAGTAAGCTAAATCTATTAAATTCTAGCTTTAAACAAGGGATCTGACCAAACTGGTTTAATTGAACCGGACTGACAGGTTTAACTTAACATACCACCAAACCGGACCGGATCTCACATAGACCGAACCGGTCAATCCTCACATCCCTCCTCGCGATTCATGACTAGATTCCCGCGATCGCACGCGTTCTTCGGCTGTTGAGGAACTGCAACCTCGACGACGTTCGACCACAGGGAATACGAAGCGTGCGGTGGCAGCCACTCCCTAGGGTACCTACACAGCGCAATGGCGGAAAACACAATGCAACGATGAGACTAGAATGACGAAGAAGAACCTATCAAAGAGGTTTGAACTTACCACAATGTTGATTACGACGATGAACCACCTCGACTGCGCCCGGGAGTGAAGCAGGCGAGCGGCGGGAATCGAAATGTCTTCACTCTATTTGTACCTGATTTGTAAACGTCTAAGAAACTCTCTGCAAGAAAAAAAAGGACATCCAATCTTCTCTTCGCCATCGTTTGCTGTCAAGACTCTTTACACTTGAAGCAATTATACATCGATTACAAGCATGTGGTAAGAAATTGCCTATTAATTTGCATAGAGGACTTCAATTCCTCCTATTCTTCATAATTTTTGTTTGGTTAATTTCTCTTGCACGCAATATATTATACCGATTCAGAACCTTTGGATTTCTTATGAAAATCGACTGTTATTTTCTGTCATAACAGCGCATTGTTCTGCCGGAGGAAACTTTCTTGAGGGAAATTCTTGGTGCCGTAGTTCTGGCTGAAGAAGGTCTGATTGAGCCAGCTCTTGAATCCAAGCCTGTAAAAATCTATGCGGATAGTGATGAATCTCAAGATGGCCAAACTGTCATCCATGAACCGAACAGCCTCCTTTGATCTATTTGCAAAGCAGGTAAGTGATAAGATACAATCTTGGTTTGTGGAATAAACAAACTGCAAAACCACGCCTGTCATTATTGCCATGGGTCATGTGTTTGCTGATATTCATCAAACTTTTGGGGCATTTGAATGAGAAAAGTGAGCATTTCGCTGATATTCATCAAACTTTTGGGGCATTTGAATGAGAAAAGTTAGCATTTCGTGGGTCATAGAAAGCAACAAAACTATAAATCTAGAACCAACCACCTACTGGTAACCGATATTGTCTGCCTAAAAAAGCATTTGTTAGGAAGAAATTTTCACACCTTTTTTAAAGAATGTTTTGTTCCCTCTCCAACTGAGGTGGGATCTCACAGTCCAACCCCTTGGGGTCCAGCATCATTGCGGCACACCACTCGATGTCTGATTTTGATACCATTGTAATAACCCAAGTCCACGCTAGTAGATATTGTCAACTTTGACCTGTTACGTATCGCCATCAACCTCACGGTTTTAAAACACGTCCACTAAGGAGAGGTTTCCACACCCTTGTAAGAAATGATTTGTTCCCCTCTCCAACCGATGTAGAATCTCACATATTGTCCGATGTCCGCCTACTTAGTCCATAGTTTGCATTACTTCATTCCAAATAGAGGGAAAGTCCAAGAAAACTCAAACTAGACCCAGAAATGTGATCAATATGTTTTGATTAGCAGAAAACAAAGGGAACAAAGACATGAAGAGAGTATTTGCCTCTTTGAAAGCTCCCAGAAATCTTCTAGGACTCCATACATAACAAATAGTTAAGCTCAAAGACACAGAAAAGTCGAAAATTCAGCTGTAGAAAGCAATGATGTTCTGAGGGAAAAGGGTAAAGGCTTTGAATTTGTACAAGCACAAGTGACAGTCAATTTGAGAACCTAAAGAAGAACAAGAGAAAGGAGACTCCACAAGAACAAATGAAAATCTTGGTTCATGGATTTTTTCAGGTTAAGACCCCAAGTCCATTGGAATGGATCCTCCAGCATTCAAAATCCGTTTTTCGAGCTGCAGTAAACAAAGTTTTGAGTCAATTTATCCATTTTTGTTCGAGAAACCAAACGGTGTAAAGATGAGATGACAAGAAGAAATGGCCTTAAGTATCAGAGAGCTCTACTACTCACTGCAAATAGGTAACTGAGCTTCTCTTTAACACAATAGAATTCTTGCTGTACTTGTTGCAGGCATCTTAAACACCTGCAGCAAACAACAGTTTACTGATTGAGAAGAACACTTTTGAAAGATCAATCAAATAGTGAAAATAACTCACCCTTCTGCACTCTGTTGCTCGCAGACATTCCGGAAGGCAATGCAGGCGTTTTTCACTCTAAGTGCACCTATGCTACATTGCCCACAGAGGAGTCGAAAACAACAAACACAACAACACAAGGTCAGCATTTTCTCCATGACTTTTAGATTTGATATGCATCATGAATATCCTATCTTGATTTCCATGGTTAAAAACGGTTTCAAATGATTGGTCTTGCACAACAGTCCATAAAGTCCTTTTGAGTCAAACGGTAACCAAGTTCACTGCTAGTAGATATTGTCTTCTTTGGATTTTTCCTTTCAGACTTCTCCCCAAGGTTTTTAAAACGCGTCCCCTAGAGAGGGGTTTCTACATCCTTATAAAGAATGTTTCTGTAACAGCTCAAGCCCATCGCTAGCAGATATTGTCCTCTTCGGACTTTTCCCTTCTGGGCTTCCTCTCAAGGTTTTAAAATGCGTCCAATAGGGAGAGGTTTCCAAGTCCTTATAAGGTATGCTTCGTTGGAACTCACAGTTTCCCTCCCCAACCCCCCAACCGATATGAGATCTCACAATAACATATGGGAGTGAGAGATTCGACTCTTTAACCTCTTATTCAAGGACGGTGTATTTTCAAATTGGCAGGCAAAAATGTTCTTCAAATTGTAAAAAGATGGAAGAGAAAACTCACAAAAGTTGTTCTTATCAGGTGTATCCATTCATAGGGAGAGAGAAGGAAAATAGAGTACCTGGAGCTGCTGCCCTTAAGCTGGTGCACATGATCATCAATCTTTTTGAAGTCCACACTTGGCTGTGATCTAACAAAAAACAAACCAAAAACACACAGAAACATAAACCGATTCATCCAAAGATCTGCACAAATCAATGATTAATGAAACTTGATACTGATTCAAGAAAGAGAGAGAGAGAGAGATAAAACAAAACTCCAAGAGAAACAGCCAAAGAGGGGCTAAGTGAGTCCTTACAAAGCAAGGCTGAGTTTATTGAGAAGCTCCTCGGTATCTTCAAAGAAAAGAGTCACCACTTCAGAAACAAAAGTTGGATTACTCTCATCTTGCAGTTGCAAAAGCTGCAAATACTGACTATCCAGAGTCCCCTTTTCTCACCAAAGCCCACAAAAAACAGAACAAAAATAAGATTCATAAACAAAACAAAACAAAACAAAACAAAACCCAGTTCAGATTTTGAGTTTTACCTCACCCAGCCATGATTTAATATACTGAACCCACTGTCTCTGCATCGATCCCACCTCCATTTTTACGCACTGAAGCTTCTTTTGACAACCCAAATAGGAACAAGACGATCCAGAAAACCTGTTCTTCGATCACAGATCTTGGGAATGAAACTGAAAATCAGGTTTTGGTGAAGAATCGAGACACTAAGAGTGGGTTATTGGGCGACGGCCTCAGCACGAGGTCAGACTGGATTTGAGGATCGTTGGTCTTACAGGATCAAAGCTCCCACCTTCTGCTTGTCGTTTTCTTTTTCGTTGATTTTAAATTTATATGGTTCTCCGAATTTCATTGGCCACTCTTTAATTTATGTAATCAATGTTCTTTTTTCATTTATAGAAAATTTTGTTTGTTTTAATTCATTGAGTTTTAAAAATAATTTATATACTGCCTGTAAATATATTTATATATTTTCCTCCCTCCTTAAGGAGACCTAATAAATGAAACGTTTCATATAAAAATATTTTTATTAAAAAAGTCATAAAATTCCTTTTTTAGTTTATAAAAAAATTTCACTTTTAATCTGCTTGGTTCGAAATTATCTCTTTTAGGAAAAATATTTTAATTATTGACCATAGTTTAGACATTTCTATCTTTTATAAGAGATATGTTTGAATATTAATTACGTAATTGTGTCGTAATTTTTTCTTAATGTTAATATAAAAATTACTTATTTAAATTATTTATTTTTGTTTAGTCTGTTAGGATTCTTCACAATGGCATGATATTGTCCACATTGAGCATAAGCTCTCGATATTGTTCACATTGATCATAAGCTCTCATGACTTTGCTTTAGGCTTTCCAAAAAGCTGAGAGAGTATTCTTTAATTATAAATACATGATCATTTCTTAAATTAGCGGATGTGGAACTTTCATCATCCAATATAGTCTACTTTAAAATATTCGTATTGCTTTCTTGAATTTCAAGAATTTAAATTTGAAAATACCAATATTTTAATTAGCGGAATTATGTTTAAGTTGATAATATTCTAATCTATTTAGCCATAATTGATATATATATATAAATATTGGTATTTTGTTAATAGATATTTGGAAAGATTTGGTTGGCTGTCTCTGCCTGTTTTGTAATCTTTTTTCTTTTTTTTTAACTAAATCTCTAATTTTGGGACAAGACAGCTGCAGCCATTTCTGACCGTCTGATCTGTTGGCATATTTTTTTTTTTTTCCATATGATTTAATTAATTAATTAAAAACCTGATTTTGAGAAATGGGACAACAAATCCTACAGCTGTTTTGCTTCTTATTTATTTTTATTTATTATTTAATATTATTGGACAGTTGGAAATAACATGCTTTGAAAACAATTTATTGTTTTATTTGTTTAATGACGTGTTTGATTGGCTCTTAATTTTTCTAATTTTTTTTAATGTTTGGTTGAAAATTCATCCAACTTTTTAGGTTCATGCACACTCTTGATTACGTGACCCTCCAGATTTCCTTTATTTTATTTTATTTAAAAAAATTTTAAAAATATTAAAACAAGATTTAAAGTTAGTTTCTACCGTTATTATTATTATTTTTTTTATAAAAATAAATATTGTTATTATTTTATCACTTTTATAAAAATTAACTTGAAACTAACATAAAAATTAATTTTTAAGTTTATTGATAGATACTAAATTTGAAAGTACTAAAATGGAAAAAGTTGGAAAATAAAGGATCAAAATGGTAATTAAATGATTTACTTCTCACTTTATTTTATATTTTATATCGCAATTTAAATAAATGGAAAGTGAGATTATTGATTGAGTTTATATTTTTGTTTTATAGACTAATTCTATTATCTCCTAAATTCTATATTAGTTTAGGTATTTTTAAATCTTATATCACAAAATTAGTCTTTAATTTTAAAATATAAAAATTTAAATAAAATAAAATAAAATTTAGAATTTAAGGACTAAAAAGTCTTTAATTTTAAAATATAAAAATTTAAATAAAATAAAATAAAATTTAGAATTTAAGGACTAAAATAAAATAAACTGAAAAATTAATCATCCATTTTTATTCTTAAATTTTGAGTCTAATTTTTATTAAGTTCATATATTTCAAATTTTCATTTTTTTTTTTTACTAATATTTAATTTTGGTTTTGTGTTAATTTTCTATTAATTATTCAATTAGTTTTCACTAATTTTTTTATCAATATTAAAATTATTAATTACTCAAAAGTTAAGATCGACTAACTTAAGAGTATAAAATATTAAATCTATAGACCAAATGAAAACTAAACTCAAGATTAAAAAAGAAATATTTTGAAAACTATACTAAAAAATAAAAAATTATGGGAAAAGGGTTCGTTTTTCCATTAAAAAAAACTCTTAAAATCCAAATAACTTGCCAAAACTAAATTATTTTTCAAATAATGTTACATGATTGAGGTATCAATACATATGCTAACTGTCACAAAACATTGCAATGAATATGCTATCAGGAAAACAACCATTTGTGTTTTTGGACAAGCTCTGCAAAACTCTGAGAAATGGAAGGAATGCACATAAAAGAACCGAGCAAGTTTATCAACAAACCTTGCAACTTTTCCTGCAATAGCCAGGAAGCTCAGGAGATCCCACCATATACTCCGGGTTATTCGTGCACTCACCGAGTTCAGCCCATCTCTCACAACTTGCATTATTATCAACGCAACTCGTATGATCACTCACGATCGTGTCGAAAGAATCGACATGAATCCACTTTGTTGCTGACCATTTCTCTCCTTCAATCACAGGGCAACCTCCATGCAGACTTTTTGTGTCTGGAACAGCATTTGGATGAAGACTGAAGAAGAGAAGAGCATCACCCTTCCGTGGTTTCACTGAATATTTTAAAGGTGGAGATTAAGGAGAGACATCTCGACGTGTTATCCCTTTCTACTGACTTCATAAATAGGATAGAAGTTCGAAAACTGACTTAAAACACTCACCTGCTATCCCTTTCTTTGCACAGTCTGAAAGATCTTCATTTGTTTCAGAAGCCTGCCGTCTTTGAGATTCCTGAACTCACATGAATGAACAAACATATTCAATATTGATAATTTTGATTCAAAAAAAAAAGTTGATAAATTATCAGTTAATACAGCGGATTTGATGAAGTAAGTCAATAAGTAGAGACAGATATATCTTCCTTAAGTACAACAACTCGAGAGAAGAATATTTGCAAAGAATATTGTACCAAGAAAAACTAAAGCTCTTGATTATGGCCAAAGTACAGAAAAAAGGGTTGCAATCAATTGGATTAAAGGGAAACGCCAGGACAAACCTCGGCATTAGGAAACACAGTTTCACCACCTTTTTCTACATTTGAAAGATACATAAGAACAGTTGCCATTCGGTGTCCACCTCGGGCAATATTAACCTTGTCAGTAAAGTAATCGAAATGGGCATCATACTTCTGCCCATATTCATATCTCAACACTTGAATGTCTTCTCCATTTTCTGAAATCAAGCACATTCAAGTTTCAATTTACCAGTAAAACCAATGCATAAACAAGCTATCAATGCATGAGTCAAAATTTCCACATTCTTATATAAATTTAGTTTCAAACTCAATAGTTTTCCTTTTTCACTAAAAAATGAAAGGGCTTAGTCGAAACACTGTGTTTCTGCCCAGCTGCAAAGTTCTTTAGACTCTATCACTTGATTATGTATTATATAATTATGACAGGGGATCATGTCTTCTGAAGTTCACTAATTTGTACGGAAATCAGAACCAAATATTGGTGAAAGAACTGTGCTAGTTGCATACAGAAAATGAGAACTTTTCGTTATCTGGTTTGTTCACTTCAGAGATTTAATACAATTAGTCCAATATTTCTCTTTATGGTTTCAGTCATAAGAATGGATAGAACTTAAGAACCCAAAATTTAAATTCAACTGCAAATGCCTCTATCCTGTTAAATTCAAGAGTTGCAATTGATAACGGAAAGCAAATTATAATCTAACATAAGTTGCTTAAGACTATGGAATTTAACCAGAAATTTGCGCCTTCTGCTAATGGTTTACCTTTTGGCAGGAATGTCCATGCTGCAATTTTGTCTTCAATACCAGAAACGATCGGATCCTACATGAGATACAGACAGTAAGTTTACCGAGGGGAGATAAAGAATGGTTATCAGGTTAGAAGTTTGTGAGTAAACCCTATCTGTATACTGACAAGAATTAAGGGTGACATTTAATGTTTCCCGCTTCAATAGTCAGTAAGACAGGAACTAATTCGAAATGAAGAAGTAATAACATTCTTAAAAAAATTTGACAAACCAAGATACCAATCATCCAGACTAGTTCAGAATGAAGAAGTAATAACATTCTTAAAAAATTTGACAGACCAAGATACCAATCATCCAAACTAGTTCAGAATGAAGAAGTAATAACAGCCGCCCCTGCTAAATGAATGTCGATTGATGAATATTGCTTCAATAAACAGTTCAAAAATTTTCCTTTTCTTCTCAAATGGTGACTTATAACAATATCAGAATAGAAAATCTGGTTTAAATTACTGCAATGGCATTCATTCACTCATTTCATATTAAGATAAACTTCATAAGTCAAACCAATATTTAACCGATGGATCTCATGAACCAAACTCATATCTGAATCTATGGGGAATCTTAAATGTTTATTAAACCAATACATATCGAGATAAAAGTGTAGGATTTAGGTTTGAAGGTGATTTAAGATCAGTGTGCTTCTATAGTGGAAACTTAAAAACTATAAGAATGAAACGCCGCACAAACCTTGGCTTTATGAATAAATGCCCCAGAGCTAGTTCGGACCTCGCTGACCTTGCTCTCTCCAGACAAATGATCCGCAACAGCAGATCTCTTCAACTCCGCTTTAGCCTAATTTAAACAAAAAACAAAAATTAACCAAAACAAAAATCGCGTAAAAAAAAAAAAAAAATGAGTCGATACTATTTCAACTCACAAGCGAGATGAGATGATCGCATTCTAAGTCCGTGAGAAAACCTTCATACACGAAAGCCCTGCATAATCATTCAAATTGAAACGGAAACATCAGACCGTGAATAAATCTAAACGAAGAATGCGATTAACAAAATCTAGATACCAGAACAACAAGACTACGAGCAGAATGGTGAACGATTTAGTACCGGGGACTCCATGAAATCTGTTTGACTTTTGCAGGATTGACGATTGAGCTAGCGGAACCTGCATAAGAGCTTGAAGCTCGCCGGAGAAGCAACGAGATCGATATCGAGAGGATAAACAGCAGATTGCAACTACAAAATTTCGCCATTGACTGAATCGGATCTCTGGAGAAAGAGAGAGCGATGAAAATAATAAAAGGTTTCTTTCCTCTGAAAATTTTCAGATTTCTAGTTCCCTTAGCTGCTTCAACTGCCAAACTTTCAAGTCCCACTCACACACTTGGCACGTGTTTCCAAATTATAATTTCTTTAGCAAAATATTGATTTTATTTTTAGACTATTTTATGTCATTTTTAAAAATAGTTCATTTTAGAAAATCTCAATAAATATAAATAATTTTTAGAAAAATATATTTTGATAGGTTTTCAATTAAAATATGTTAAAAAATTATCGAATATAATAATTTATAATCGTCATTTTTAATAAATAAAATGTATATTTACTATTTTAATTAATTTATATCTATTTTATTTAATCGATGTCATTTTATATCCATTTATATTCATTATAAAATATTTTAATAATTTTATTATTATAAATATGGAACATGAATTCTCGACAAAAATAGTACATGTCAATTAGTGTTGATTATCTTTATTATATTTTTTGGTATTTGCTAACTTCGAAGAAATATTAAATCTTCCTAAGCTTCCCTCCGTTAAGTAATCATTACAACATCCGACCTAATTTGAATTTCATTTTTAATTAGTTTAAATAATCGTGAGTAAATATAATATTAAATTATTTAATATGTCAGAGTTAAGTTCAAAAATCCATAATCACCGTTATTAACTGTTAATGTAATCATAACATTTAATAATGTTATTGATAATTAACTCCCAAAAAAAGTATGTAATCAGCAAGGTTCCATCTTATTCTAACTAGCAGAATTTACACACTTTTGATGACACAAGTTAGGCAAAGAATTATAGAACAACATTGACACCGACATAAGGCAAGTGATCAGATAGAGGAATTTCCCACGATGAGAGGGACGACTTCAAATCAATTGGATCCTTACGTACCTGTATATACTAGAGGAGATCGCTATGATCGTTACTGTATCCGTATCGAAAAAATGAGACAAAGTGTTTGGATCATGTACAGTTGATGCCAACGAACCTGATAGCAGATATGCCAACGTTTGGCTGCATTTCTGGTTTAGTTTCTTCAATGGAGACTGCGAGCAACCAATCCCTCAAAAACAGTATAAAGATCTTTGTTATCGTGGCTGAAAATCTCCTTCACCTTCTTAAGCATCTCCTGAAATCATATCTAAATCGATCAACCACCACGATATCGACAAAAAATTATTCGGAGAGGCAGCTACATTAGTAACTTGGGGGCATGGTTAAAATGTTTTGTTCATCTCTTATGCCTCTAATAGTTACCAGAGTGACAGCCACATTGCTGCCATGCATCATTAAGTATGAGAAAGCCAACCTCTTTCGTTTGCTTGTGGGAATTTAGATCCTTCACATTTGATAAAAATGCAGCAAACTGATCATAAGACAGACGGGTCCTGAAAGGGGAAGGAGATGGAAAGAAGAGTTGAAGAATGCTATGAGAATTCAGAAATGAAGAACACAGGGCAATAATTCACGCTATTAAGTTCTTTCCTGAAGGGAAGTTAGTGCTTTCTTGAGCTATGATAGCAGGAAGGGAAGAATTAACATTGTATTGTTGAACAGCAAGATGTTCAAAATGGTGCTATCAATCACATACATAGAAAGGGAGTATCACATCAGCCATTATTTACGAGCATTAGACAGAAACGTATGAATACCTGACTTGTCGGAAAAGTTCCTTCCCATCGACCCGAGCTTGCCCTATAGAAGATCAAACAAGAAGAACCTTCATCAGGAAACACAATTCTAGAGCCAATTATTGAAGCTGGAGGTTATTGTACAAGGATAAACTATGAGCAGCATCAAAATTTAGATCACCAACTTGCAGGTAAAACAATCTTCTCTTAGCTCTTAGTGACTGATAGATAATATACAATAGATTTGGGGAGCAAACGTGGGCATGAAATTTAGTCAATAAGAACTCGTAAATAAACAAGACTCTTCAGTGCCAAGTTCATATGAGTTATGAACGTAACTCTTACTCTCATTCTAGGAGTAAAGTGATGTAAAATGGTAGCAGATAAGGCCACAATATTTCTTTTGTAATATGCATAACCAAATGAATGTTCTTAATGAAAGGAAATTTCTGTAAGCAATGCAATCTGCAAACCTTTGTCGGAGGAAATTGAGGGCGCGGAAGAACATACTGAAGATCTATCTTCAAAAACGTTCCTGGAGGTTGAAAAGGACATTGAATGTCGCCTAGGTGACACAGGTCTAGATGTTCTCTTTGGAGATATTGATGCTGATAGTGAAGGAGAAGAATTATGGGGAGTAAGCCGAGGTGTACTTAGTTGTAAGGCTAACAGGAGGCCAGGTGCAATACGAGGTCGAATTCCTTCAAGAAAAAAGTAAAATTACAACTCCAATCTTCTTTTGGTTTCTACAAAGTTCTAACAATCTTTACAAATTAGTTCACTGATATCAATTCTTCTCCACTCTATGGATTGTGGAAGCAACTATAATCATCCATAGTCAAAATCAGTAGCTACCATGAAAAACTAGAGTTCTACTTACCATCGAAATCATGATCCTCTGCTAATGAATTTCCCACTTCAGAAGTCTGGCTCTGAGCCGATGAGTATCTGGAGGACGGCAAGGATGAAACATCTTCTGAAAGAAATAACTTTCTCAACATGTCAAAGACTATATGCAGGACAAGCATCTTTTTCTCAAAACACAAGTAAAGTGGAAAATTTTTCAAAATTAACTCCAGGATATTGACAATGGGTACATGAAGAACTATACATCAAATCACAAACAAAAAGGAGCATCCTGATTCTGATTCAAATCCATGTTGTCCAACCTTCGGTTAATTTAAGGAAGGATACTAGGTTTATAAATATGGAATACATCTCCATTGGTATGAGGCCTTTAAGGGAAGCCCAAAAGCAATGCCACGAGAGCTTATGCTCAAAGTGGACAATATCATACCATTGTGGAGGGGCGTGATTACTAACATGGTATCATAGCCATGCCCTAAACTTAGCTATGTCAATAAAATCCTCAAATGTCGAACAAAGAATTGTGAGCCTCAAAGATGTAGTCAAAAGTGACTAAAGGGTTGAACAAAGGGTGTACTTTGTTCGAGGACTCCAGAGAAGGAGTCGAGTCGAGTCTCGATTAAGGAGAAGCTGTTCGAGGGCTCCATAGGCCTCTGGGGAGGCTCTATAGTGTACTTTTTTCGAGGGGAAGATTGTTGGGAGGGAATCCCACACTGGCTAATTTAGGGAATGATCATGAGTTTATAATTAAAGAATATATCTCCATTGGTATGAGGCCTTTTAAGGAAACCAAAAGCAAAGCCATGAAAGCTTAGGACAATATCATACCATTGTGGAGGATCGTTATTTCTAAAAGTCCATGCGTGAAAAGCTAAGCTTTGACAAGGAACCGTAGATATATGAAGAATAAGAAAGAACCTTTAATCTGGGAAACAGTAGATGGTTGGCTCGGTATCTTAGCGACCATTTCTGGAACTTCTGTCTGTAATAAAAGCACAAAGCAAAGAAACGAGTAAACCAGTATCCACCAAACACGAAGCCTGCTTAAACAAGCTCGAGAAATCTTTCTTAACTGATTGTAAAGGTTTTTCTTACAGGGATATCTCCTTCCTCCTGAAGTGATAGCATCAGTGTCTTCCTAAACACCTCCAACTATAGAATCAGAGATTGTTCATGTCCATTTTCACATCATTAACAGAAATCAAAATTCATCAAATGGACAAGAATTCTATTGAAATGACAACAAACTCAAGCAATTTCACGCACCTTCGCAACATCTCCCCTCAGCTTCTTCACGGTGTTCGACAACGAGGCGTTCTCTTTCTCCAAGCTCTCCTACAACACCATAACCAAAACAAAACGATTAAAAACGAACACCATTCCACAACAAGATTTAAACAACTCCGTATTCAAACCTTCTCCTCGTCGGCCCTGGCGAGTTTATCGACGGTCTCGGAGAGAGAATCGTTGAGCGATTCGATCTGGAACCTTAAGTCTGCTACAATCTCATCTTTCTCAGCAATTTTAGAGCGCAGAACAGAGGACTCTGATTCAAGCATCGAGACGCGAGTCGAAAGAGCGATGGAAGTGATTTTGCGGGCGACATCGAGCTGTTCAAAAGGATCAGAAGGAAGCACTTGCAAAACTCTATCAGGAAGATCAAAGCCGGAACTGCCAGATTCTCTCCCTTGCATTTTCAACGCTGTCTCTGTTTCTCTCTCTCTCTCTACGTAGCTTCTCGTAACTTCAATTACAAGCCTTCATTTCCCGTCCGCCATCGGTAGATAAGCTATGATCGAACCAGATGAACAAGGAAGAATCATGAACAGTAGCAAAGCGGAGAAGAAAGACAAATTGAGAAGATTGAAACACAGAATTGAGGGAAAATAGAGTGTTCCTTTGGAACTGAGACACGTGGCGTTGAACAAAGGGTCTGCGATCCCATGGCTAGAAAGGGACAAGCCGTTTTGTTTTTTTTTATTCTTTCCCAAAATCCACTTTTTTTAAGTTTTGGATAAAAAAAAATTATCATAAATAACACTTCAAAAATTAAATATTACTTTCTCATAAATAAAATTCAATTTCCTTTACGCTTATAGAATAATTCGAATTACGAGTTTATAAACATATTGTTTTCATTTCCATGTCTGGTGTCGGGCTTTAATAGCGTTTGTTACACCCAAGCCTTGGCCCGTTAATAGATATCGTCCACCTTGACCCGTTAACAAATATCGTCCATCTTGGCCCGTCAGTACATATCATCCACCTTGCCCCGTTAACAGATATCATCCACCTTGGCCCGTTAGCAGATATCATCCACCTTGCCCCGTTAGTAGATATCGTCCACCTTGGCCCGTTAACAAATATCGTCCACTCTAACTCCACGCATAATATTATCCGTCTCACCATTTGATCTAATAACTATAGTCTCACCTAATAACTTTAGTCTCACAATCGGATCGAATTAATGAATTAAAAAATAAAAATAAATAAATCAATTAATGAATTAAAAGTTTAAAATATTTTAAAAAAACTCAATTATTGTTCATCAAAAATATAATTAGTCTTTTTCTCATTTATAATTTTTTTAACAAATCCATTTTCTGAAACCATTTCTGGAAGTAAAAGCAAAAGAAGCACCATCGTCTTGTTCATAGATTTGCGTATAAGCGAAATCCCCAAATCCCTAAATCCCTAAATCCTTCCTTCTTCAATCCGTTATTTAAATCTCCAAATTCCTCTGCAACCACCACCCAATGCCTCGATCAAAGCCAAAAACAAGAACAACCAGAAAACCATCAATCAAATCCCCACTTCAATTCATGGCCGCCTCTGCCACCGAGAAAACCCTAACCGGCGTTGGAAACCTAATTCGCCTCCTCCCCACCGGTACTGTCTTCCTCTTCCAATTCCTCAGCCCAATCCTCACCAACAGCGGCCAATGCGAACCAATCAACAAATCTCTCTCTCTAATTTTGATCCTCTTCTGTGGTCTCTCCTGTTTCCTCTCCTCCTTCACTGACTCCTACACTGGCGACGACGATGCCCTCCACTGGGGCTTTGCGACCGCTTCCGGAATGTGGCCGTCGCCGGAGTCCAAGGAGGTTGATCTGTCACCCTACAAGCTTAGGGCAGGGGATTTTGTACACGCCACCTTTTCGGCTCTGGTTTTTGGAGCTTTGGTGGTTCTAGACTCCGATACTATGAAGTGCTTCTTGCCGAGCTTTGCGGCAGCAGATAAATTGTTGGTTCAAGTTCTGCCGCCGGTCGTCGGAGCGGTTTCGAGCGTGGTGTTTGTGATGTTTCCTAATACTCGCCATGGCATCGGGTACTATGATTCCTCTGCAACTCCCGGCGGCGCTAATTCGCCGCTGGTTCGGAGAGGTGCCTGAGGTTTCCTCTGGCTATAACATTTCCAAACGTATTTATAATGAAACTTAAAAGATATCTGTTTGAAAGGTGAAAGGGATGTTTGGGTGTCTAAATATGTAATTTTACAAATTTAATTATTTGAAGCTTTTAATTAGATTTTGATTAAAGAAGGTCGGTCTATGCCAATATGGGAATTTAATTGGGTTTGGATCAATAAAATACCCCCAAATTTTAATTTTAGTAATTTTTTTTTTAGAAAAAAAGTTAAATTACATATTTACCCTTAAATGTCAATTTTCGTATGGAATAGATCCTTTAACTTTGGAACCTGAACTTTAAAATATTAGTTGATGATTTATCTACTGAGTTATACAAACAATCTTATAGTGAAGTTAAAGAAAGAAAACTGCTCGTTTTTTATTGTGAAATGTATGTTGAATCATAACATACCATTAGGTCGATGGATCCTCTCATTGAAAGATTCTTTGTACGGATAATACACATTCCAGTTCAACGAGCATGTTTGATTGAGACAACCTTGCAACCCTTTGCTTTAAATCCTTCTGCCGTCTGCTTGCTTTCTGTCCTAATCTTACAAACTTTGCCTTAACAATATGGTGGTCGGAAGTACCTTTCGACGAAACGACCGAGTACGAATTTAAACGTCGAATCCTGTGAAGCTAAGATATAGTCGACTCTTGTGCCATATTTGCAGGTTCCCTGCACATCTGTGTTGCAAAACATATGAAATTAGCAAAGTTTTTCAGTAGATTTCAAAGGAAAATGGTTTATGAGCATAGGCAACGTCTCCTACTTTGGCCTTTGGCCATGATCACCACTGGCACACAATCTCCTGCATAGTCTTTTTAATCTATGAACCCTTTTCCCTTCAAAAACTTCATCCGAAAACGCTCCAACTCTATCATGTTTTCATAGCATGACATAGTGGTTTCTTTCACATACATAACTAGATTTGGCTTTACTGCTCGGAGAATAGGTTCGTTACCTCGACTATGTCGGTCCATCTTTCAGGTGAGTAATCAGATCTCTCCAAAGAATTGAGTACACCCACCAAAATGTGAGGACAATCAACTGATTTTGTTATTGCATTAATCTGCCTCATCCTCCAATGCTCATCCAGATGGTCGAGTGCAGTAGATGTTAACTTCTCCCGTCCCCGCATGTCGATCGCAACCTTTAGCAAGTTTCTGAAATCCAAATCTAATAATTCAGCAGTTCAGCATTACTGCAATTCCCCAGAAGACGAAAAACAAAAACGTGTTACAGAAAGCAAAAGAAAAGAGAAAAGAGTGATGAAAACCAGCAAACTTGAAGTACCTTTTTTCGTTCGTCGTCTTCGATAAGCTCGGTGTTTTGTCTTCCATGGAACCAGGAAACTTGTTAACTCTTTCTATGCTAAGTTTCACCTATGGTCTTTGAGACAACAGCAAGTCATGTAAGAATCAATGAAGATGCCAACAACAGCCCAAGAGATATGACATAAAGACAAGGAAGAACTACATTATTTGAGAAGCAGGTTGACAATGGTGAGAGAGAGGGTCAAGGTCGGCAGAGGGACAAGAAAGAGGCAAACCGACATTAAGTGAAAAGAAAAACTAATATTTCGTGAGCATATCATGTTACATGTACATGGTTTCTTTTGACAAAAACATAGGCACTATCAACCCTACATTTCCACAATCAGCCCTGCCCATNTCCAATGCTCATCCAGATGGTCGAGTGCAGTAGATGTTAACTTCTCCCGTCCCCGCATGTCGATCGCGACCTTTAGCAAGTTTCTGAAATCCAAATCGAATAATTCATCAGTTCAGCATTACTGCAATTCCCCAGAAGACGAAAAACAAAAACGTGTTACAGAAAGCAAAAGAAAAGAGAAAAGAGAAAAGAGTGATGAAAACCAGCAAACTTGAAGTACCTTTTTTCGTTCGTCGTCTTCGATAAGCTCGGTGTTTTGTCTTCCATGGAACCAGGAAACTTGTTTGCTAAGGAAATCTCGTTGTCAGGAAGATTAATGGAAACTTTGGGCTTTGATCTTGAGAGAGATTCAGTCTTGGTTAATGGAGATTGCTTTAGTATACTCTTTGGGCAATGATTCACAGGGCTTATAAAACTGCTTTCCTTTCTACCAAAGCTGAATGTTGCTGACTTCTCTGCAATGGGAACAGCAGGTGCTAGAGAGAACATGGCAACATTGAATGTGGCAACTCGAAATCACCTTTTCGAGACAGAATCGCCCAACTGGCTGACTCTGGCTATACTTTCATCTTCCCAAACCTTTTGACAATAACTCTGCGCTTCGGGTGATTCCATATCAGCCACCATAACCTTGAGCAGAGACGCCAGAGTTCACTCCTCAAAATCATCAACACCTCTCAACTCTTTCTATGCTAAGTTTCACCTATGGTCTTTGAGACAACAGCAAGTCATGTAAGAATCAATGAAGATGCCAACAACAGCCCAAGAGATATGACATAAAGACAAGGAAGAACTACTCCATTATTTGAGAAGCAGGTTGACAATGGTGAGAGAGAGGGTCAAGGTCGGCAGAGGGACAAGAGATTGGCAAACCGACATTAAGTGAAAAGAAAAACTAATATTTCGTGAGCATATCATGTTACATGTACATGGTTTCTTTTGACAAAAACATAGGCACTATCAACCCTACATTTCCACAATCAGCCCTGCCCATGTGGCCATGTTTTGTTTGGCAAGTAAGTCATCAAGCTAATTAACTAAATATAATCGCACGAACTTTCTAGGAATATCGAAGTATAAGAATAAAAAAGATAAAGACAAAGGAGAAGGAGTTCCTTTCTCTCCAGAACAGCTTCCAGCAATGAGCTACAATAATCATGCAGTCTGCTGTGGTTTGTGGATGCATGGGATAATAGAATAGAGACTCACTCCCAGCTCCAACTCCGTTCATTCGTTAATAAACAATGTATCAAGAAGGTTGGATGTCGAATCATCGATCGTTCCCTCATCAAAGAAGCCTTTCGAAGCATTATCCCGCCTGGACTTTCGCTCTTCAACAATAGATTCTTCTGTTTCAGGACAATAATTCCGCTTGCCTTGCTTTACTGGTCTTTCGGCCACTATAAACTTGTTACCATCACGACATCTTTCGGGAAATCCTGCCCAAACTGAAAAACATGGTTGCTGAGAGGTCAATAATGTCTAGAAAAGGGGACAAGTATCATTTCCAGTTCATCAAATAAGACATAACCAACCTGATTTTCACTTAACCCTCCAATATACACACACAAGAAAGAACCCTAATATAGTAATAGGAGATATAGCCAAATCTGGAAGCTGTTTTTGAAAAGACTCAAATCCAATAATATCACATTTTTGAAAAACTTCAATTTCCTTTAGTTTGTTCTCATAGGTGACGTATCTTTTCAAAACAAACTAAATTGTTCTTCCTTTGGGCTCATAAATTCATATACATAATAATCCAGACTTCTACAAGCTACCATATCACTGTTCTTAAAAACAAGAGGGAAAAAAAAATGGATCAGCTCCCAACATGCTCAAGTTGTTTCAATATCATGAAAAACATTAAACGAACAATTTTCTCAAATTGCAAGTTAAAAAAACATAATAATTATAGAAACGCATGTGTGAGATCCCTCATCAGTTGGGAGAAGAACGAAACCTTCTTTATAAGGGGGTGGAAACCTCTCCCTAGCAAACGCGTTTTAAAAACCTTGAGGGAAAGTCTGAAAGGGAAAGCCCAAAGAGAACAATATTGGCTAGTGGTGAGATTGGGCTGATATAAATGATATTAGAGCTAGACATCAGGCGATGTGCCAGCGAGGAGGCCAGCCTTGAAGGGGGTGGACACGAGGCAGTATGCCAGCAAGAACGTGGGGGCTGTTATAAATGGTATTAGAGCTAGACATCAGGCGATGTGCCAGCGAGGAGGCCAGCCTCGAAGGGGGTGGACACGAGGCAGTATGCCAGCAAGAACGTTGGGCCCCAAAGGGGGGTGGATAGGGGGGTCCCACATTGATTGGAGAAGGGAATGAGTGCTATTGTGGACGTTGGGTCCAGAAGGGGAGTGGATTGTGAGATCCCACATCAGTTGGGGAGGAGAACAAAGTATTCTTTATAAGGGTGTGGAAACCTCTCCTTAGCATATGCGTTTTAAAACCTTGTGGGAAGCCTAAGCATGCATAGAGTGGATAATTTATCAATCCAAGATGATCGTTAATATCAAATATGAGAGCTATTACAAACAGCAACATCATTTGATTCAACCAAGCCATACTTATTCCTAGGACACAGTTTCCTAAGTTTCAGCTTGAAGGGATCATTTCCCATAATGAACTGATTCAGAACTCATAGAGAAAGGGATCAAAATAATCAGATCAGATAACTCAAGGTTTCACATGGTAAAATACCAAAAGTATCGAACCGAAAATATTAAGAGAGACTGGTAATTCTTATAGGTGATATAGATTAGACATGTATTTAAAAGGAACTCAAAAGGGGGAGATAAAAATGCAACAGTTCTGAGTATTAATTACCACCAAAATGATGTAGGACAATTGAAGCAGCTACAGTTACATTCAAAGAAGCGGTGCCGACACCATATTGTGGGATGTAAATGAAGAAGTCGCAGATTGCACACTCTTTAGCAGAAAGCCCTGTTCCCTAGAAATATAATATGCATATAACCATCAAAAGGGTGTCTCCTTGCTGAAAATAGTGTATCAAAATTATTTCCAAAATGATTCTGATCCAATTCAATCTTGATGATCATGCTACTAACTAACTCACAATGCCTAGAACATCATAGAGACATGGACTTAAGAAAAAAGCAAGAGATCTAAAATGACATATTAAGAACTAATGTCATCCCATCAAAAAATGGAAAAATAATCCATCACAGAAAATATGATTGCCAGAAGAACTTTAAGCAATTATCGTTTATTTTTTTTTTTTTTCATCAAGGAATTGGAGTTCACTCCTTGCATTATACTCATGGCCTCCTCACAAATCTCACAAATTTTAAGTATATGTGTAACCACCCAAGCTCACCACTAGCAAATAGTGTCTTCTTTGAGTTTTTCCTTTCGAGCTTCCCTTCAAGATTTTTAAAACGTATCTGTTAAGGAGGGGTTTCCACACCCTTATAAAGGGGGTTTCGTTCTCCCCCCACTCGATGTGGGATCTCACAATCCACCCCCTTCAGGGCCCAGCATCCTTGCTAGCACTTGTTCCCTTCTCCAATTGACATGGGATCCCCCAATCCACCCCATTTCGTGGCCCAGCGTCCTTTCTGGCATATCGTCTCATGTTCACCCCCTTCGAGGGCTTAGCCTCCTCGCTGGCACATCGCCCGGTGCCTAGCTCTCATACTATTTGTAATGGCCCAAGTCCACCGTTGTTAGATATTGTCTTTTTTGGGCTTTCCCTTTCGAGCTTCCCCTCAAGAATTTTAAAACGTGTCTGCTAGGGAAAGGTTTACACACCCTTAGAAAGTGTGTTTTGCTATCCTCCTCAATCGATGCAGGATCTCACAATGTGCATAAGAAACCAAGTTGTAATTGAGAAAAATGAAAGAATTAGTTAATGGGAGACAATAAGCTCTACAGGTCCTATGTATAATGGAATTAGAGAAGAACTTATTAACTGACAGCAGCATATGGTGATTAATAAATTCAATAAAAAATGGAATTCCAACACAAAAACCAACCTCGTTGCCGAGAAGAAAAGCGGTGCTCCTCTTGAAAGGATGCTGATTGACAGCCACGGCGTTATCAGTTATCTCCACGCCACATATATCACAATCCTTCTCCTACAGACACAGACGGAAAAAAATTCAAATTTCAAAACAAACCCATAACGTAATCGAGACCGATGAAGGGAAGAAAGAAAGAGGGCAGAACCTGAAGGAAATTTCGGGCGTCGAGAAGTGAATGAAAATGACGGAACCGGACGTGAGAAGTGGAACCATGGCTACCGAAGGCGTTGAAGTCCCGACGGCCGACGAGGATGACCTCCGATACACCGAACGCGGTGGCGCTTCGGGCCAATGTGCCAACGTTGTGCCTTTTGGCTATGTTATGTACGACGACGTAGCTTTCGAACCCCATTCCGAATTCAATGGCGATGAAATGATTGAAGAGAAAGTGATGGGGTTTACGGATTGAGGGTTTTGACAGAGCCTGCAACTCAATTCTGGCGGCGGATCGAAGAAGAAGGACCGGTTCACAGTTCGGCCTGGCCCTGGCGTCTGATGAATTCTTTTCAATACGGTGTCGTTTCACGGCTGTTCCCACTACCGTTTACACGCTAATTTTAATTTAGTATTTAAAATTTTTAAATTTTCCAATCTTATATATATAATTGCAAATAAGAGACTTCAAATTTTACTCTCTTACCCATTTAATTTCTTTTTCTTTTTTATTGTTTGTAATTAAGCTTGGAAATACTATTTTACCCTTGAATTTCTTTGAAAAATGCTTTTTTACTAATATTATAGATTCGAATCTTGACTAAAGGTTAAAAGCACATTCGTCTTATCCAGACTAAAGGTTAAAAGCATATTGAGCTACTACACTCGTATTATCATAAACATAAACGTTTTATAACTGATATTTCTAGTAGCTAGATTTTGGAGGATTGGGCGTTTTATAACCAATATTTCTAGTAACTAGATTTTGGGCGCTCAAAACCTTCCAATTTTGTATTTGGTTTCTCTAATTCTTACACGGGTTCATTGAATAATCTTATGCTAAAATAATTACAATAAAAATTGATTTATGGTCTAAAAAGTCAAAAAGAAGTAAGAAATCATAAACTTAAAATTTTCGATAAACCTTTTTTTATATATAACGGGAAAAAAATCCTAATCTTAAAAAAAAAAAAATAAAATTTTCGATAAACCTTTTTTTATATATAACGGGAAAAAAATCCTAATCTTAAAAAAAAAAAAATCAGCAAAAACATTGGATTTTGAAATAAAAGGATAAAATGAAATTCACAAGATTTAATTGATAAAAAAAAATGAATCTTTGCCTAAATGTGATTTTAATTAATCAACTTAGATCGCTAGCAAACTAGACTAATTTTAATGCAAACATTAATCAAAATATCCTAACAAATCCCTTTTTAACAAATTATTAGAGAGGGGAAAAGGAGAAGGCAGTTGAAATTTTTGGATGCCAAATTTCTTAGATGCTCTTAAGTTTAAGATAAAGTGTACCTTGTTCAACAGTTGCTGAGGGATGTGTGTATGGCAAGCATTGATAATAACCAACATAGTAGGCAGACTTGGTAATAAGGTAATTCATATGCATTATTCCATTCCATAGGAGTCCCACAACATTATTCAAAAACATTCAACTCAACTCACCACGAAAACTGATTACGAGCGAGTATAACGGACTGGAATACGCCGCTGTATCAGGCTCCTACAAGAAGGACAATCTTTCATACCTTGTTTTTCATGTAGTTCATTGCAGGTTGTGCACACCACCTGATGGGCGCATGGAAGAAACACTACTGACATCTCCTCCGAAAGACACATTACACACTCCCGTTCCCGCTTCACACTCCCAGTTCCAGAGTACTCGTAAAGATCCTTCATCGATTCCGAGACATTCGGGGTCCAGGACTCGTTGTGATCTGTGCTGTTTCTGGTATCTATAAGCCTACTGGCATAACTTCCGTCGATGCCCCTTTTAAGAGCAGCAATTCTGGAAGAATCTGTCTTAAGTCTCAACTGAGATATTTCTTTTTCAAGCTTTTGGATATCGCTTTTGTACTTTAAAAGATTGTTTTCTGCTTTCAATTTTATTGTATCCTCCTTTGCTTTCAATGAAGCTTCAATTTGTTCTCTCTCCTTTCTCAATGAAGCAGCCTGCATGAGCAGCTCATCTTTTGCTCTCGCCTCCATTTTCCCTCTACCCTGAGATACGTTCCTTGTTAATGAGAAAGGGCCCACAAGTTGCCACGTAATTAATACAACTAAGAGAAACAGAGAAAGTCAAGAACGTTGAAAACCAATGAGATACATATCTCAAAACTAGGAACACAATCACAAAACTCAAAGGAAATATGTTCAAGATAAAATATACAGCATTTCAGAATTTTTTTTCTTCTTATTTCGGGGGTATAAACAAGAGATATAATGCTCAAATCTTCAGGAAGTTCATACGTTGTTGGAGAAGTAAATGTGTCATGTGTAAAACGATGCAAACCAAGACCAACCAAGCAAGAAAAGACGTATAAGAATTGAAATTTAATATCGAGGAAAATAAAAACAAATGAGGTAAGGTAATCTTAATATTGCACCTAAAATGAGATGCAACATCCACCTGTATAAGAAAAAATCCAAGGATAACAATTTAAACCTTTTCGTAACATTCGTAATGCTCAACAGCTACAGAATTAGCTAAACAATAGGTTCAACAAGGAAATGGGAGAAAATGCTCTAATGTTTTAAACGGGGAGAAAACATCAACCAGTAATCTGAAAACATACCAGGAACTAGGACAGCAAAAATGTGCAAAATGATCTATGCAGAATAGGATTTAAGTTCAGTTGAAACACCCTAGGAAAGGTAACGTTGGACTCCTTTCCTATGGCAGTTATTTCTTTTCGACGATCTACGGGTAAAAGCATAATTTAGTGTCTCGTAATTATTCCTGGGAAGTAATGAAATTTTGATAAACCATCCAATTTATTGTCATTTTTCTTATGACCCCATCAGTTCTACAGTTGCAAGTTGCCAAACTTAATAATCAAGGCACAAAAGATGGTAGCTAAAACTCATAAGAGAACAAAGAATAAATTGTTAAAACATACCTCCAGTTGTTCCTGGACATCCCTCGCCTGCTCAAGTTCCTGTATTAGTTGTTTTAATTTTCGTTTTTCGACTGTGTGTTCTTCCTGAAACAACATTTTCGTCTTCTCCCATGATTGAACGTTCACTAGTGTTTTCTTTTCCCTCTTAGAAACCTCCTGATAGGTAGCTGCTGATTCTGTAGCCCGTAATTTTGCAACCTCCATCTCCTGTCGTAGAGCAGCATTCTCCACCTCAAGCCTTCTAACAGCAGAGTTAGCAAGTTCAACCTGCCCACTAGCCTTGCACAATGCATGTTCCATCTCGGAAAGCTTCTTCTTGGTATTTTCCTCCAAAGTCTGTTTCTCCTTTTTCAGCCGTTCAACTTCCTCCTTTTCTTGTTTCAAAGTCTTTAGTTCAGCCTTGTCCTTACTTAGCCTCCTTGCAGCCTGCATGACCTTTTGATTGGCCCACTCCATCCACTCTTGCAACTGACTTTGTAATTCCCGAGCTCTTGGTACTAATTTCAAAACCATCTCATCCTTCTTATCCTTAGGAAACCACTGCCCAAGGGACTTTTCATAAGGCTTCTCAACAAAACTACTAGTAGAAGGCTCAGCATTGCAGCTGATAGGCACCGAGGGCTCATTGCTTTTAGTGGGCAAAGAAAGAGAAAGATCAGTTTCAGCTGCTGGTAGCGCAGAAGAAGTATTAGTAGCTGGTAATGCAAGTGGTGAACTAGGTGCAGGCATTGAAGATAGTACATTGATCTTAGAAAAAGGAGAAACGGTTTTATTGTTTTCCAAGTTAAATGATAGAGAGGAAGAAGGAATGTCGATGGTGGTAGGATTATGGTTTCCATTGTCTTGGGCCACATCAATTCCCATAGCCTTGCTTATTTTCAGCGAAGCATTCTTAAAGTTTACTGCAGTGGAGCCTGAAACAGACTTTAGTTTCTTATCCAACATCAAACTCCCCAAACCAGTCACCTTTCCAGCTCTTGATGGGCCTTTCTGTCCATATGTTCGAAAGTTTTTATCCACATGAAGCGACTTTTGTCGTAGCATGTATTCTCTCTTCATTATATTAGAATGAACCCTTCTGCTGCTCCCAATTTTTTCTTCAGACACGGAAGTTTGAGGGTTTCCACCCACATTAAATGATTCCCTAGCAACATCAGAGGTAGAATTTTGCAGTTCTTTATCTGATACTGATACACTAGTAAATAATGGGTCCTTTGGTTTAGTAAGATTAGGAGCTCCTAGAGTGGCTGGTCCATCGGATTGAGAACTATGAGCACAGCTGATTGGAGAAATTGGCTTAAGAGGCTTAGGAAAATTCAACTCAGAGCTTTTGGCTTCTGCTTCTAACTGTGGGGTAGAGTTAGTTGAACCCTCATTCGAACTCCCATCGCAGACAACTGCGTTAGACGGGTCACTATCCATTGTACATGCATGAGATACACTCATGTCACTGACCAATAAGCACCACATTGCATCGCCAGTGCTGAAGTAAGGCCTAACCTCTCGTAGAACACAAACTAATTCAGCTAAAATATATTTTTCTAGTTGCTGTAAATCCTCAAAATAGTGTTCCCTAGATTGATCAATTTCTTGGCCACTTCTAAGGAAAGCTAAGGTATTGTCCACTACATTCGACATGATATCTTTACAACCAAAACAAATGCCAGACCTTGAGACGGCTTTTATAGCAACCTCTTCAGTGAATCCAGAAGCAACAACTTTCTTGATTGCAGCCTTGAATATTGTGTCTAAATTGCATAAAATTAGTTCTACCAGCTGAGCTTCTGTAAGGTCACTCCAATCAACATCTTGGAACTCATCAACTTCCAGTTCCCCTCTTGGCCAGTCTATCCCAATGTCAGGAGAGCCTCCATTGGACAATCCGAGATCGAGTTTCAATCCAGCAGAAAATTCTTGACTAATGCTACACAGGTCACACGCACCGATTTGCCCCAGACTTGAACTAATCTCAAATTTCTCAGCTGAAAAATCATAACTCGGACATTCATCTTGAGATGAAGATGTGATCTTATTCAGGTCCCCTAAAGGTGGATCTGCTCGGTATTTCCTCTTATTCCTACTTCCTTTTTCCTGGACAAGCACTGAAGAAGGCCCATGGTTGCTAGTAGCAGGACAACTCGGCTTAGCGACCATTGATGCCATTTATCACTGTACAAGTACAAGACAACAATGTATGAATACCTTAATCTAGCTATCATTTTTCCTCTTTCTCTCGTGTATATAAATATACACTTAACAAGTAAAGGTACCAAACTTCTCCCATACCTCAATGCAGTTGGAAAACCATGAATATCAATTTTATGCAAACCGAAAGAAAGAACAAAAAAAAAAAAAAAACAGAATTATCATCGCATGAATGAATCATAAACAGCTCAAAATTCATCAGCTAATGGTACAAACAAACAAGACCAAGAACTAAACAATCCAGAACCTGGAGTATTCATCTAACTAAGAAACTAAAACGCATACCTCGAATCTCAGTATTAAAATCGAGATAATCAAAATCTGCGTCGGAAGAGAATAAATCAATCACTCACAAAACAAACAAACACCGAAAGCAGAAACTGCAGAAGAATCTACACATGGAACACGAGCAAAAACTACATTCATCCAGTACCAAATTCATCGCGAATTGAATACAACAACCAACCTCGTAGATCCAAGGAACTAAAATCTTAATGACCAATTATATATTGGTAAGAGACTGGTAAAAGAACAGAAGAAGAAGAACCTCCTCTCCTCCAAACAGAAAGTCGAGAATTGAATGTTGAAGAACCTGCGGGGAAACAATCGGCAGAAACGCACCCGATTCAAACTGGCGAGTTGGAAGAATCGAAGACTGGAAGGAAATACAAAATCAGAAGAATATCGATGAAATCAGAAAGAGAAATCCATGTAAGAAGCTTTTCTTTCTTTCTTTTTTTAATTTCTTGTGGTTTTTTTTTTTTTTTTTTTTCACTTCTTATTTTTCTTGAAGTAGCTTAGAGCATGGCGTCTGACTAAAGATTTTGGCTTGTTTAATTTTTAATGCTTTTTTTTGGCTTTCTTCTTAACCACCTTAATTAACCACGGTTATCTGAATGGCCTTCTCTAACTTACCATGGTTAATGTACCTACCCATCTTTACATATTATATGGAACAATTTTTAAATTAGTGGCTAATATTTAGAGTCTATTATATATAATGCATGTTAAAATTGTCTCCAATTGCTGATGTAATAAATATTACTGAATTTTCAGAATTTTACATAAAAAATTATTTTGTTTTGTATATATATATATTGAAAAAATCTTTTGAACCTATTTAAAATTTCGAGTTTTTTGGTCGTGACTCAAACAACTCTAATTTATAAAAATGTTGTATATAACAAAAATGAACTAACTCTGCCCGAAATGTGGAACTCAACCATTATAGTTCGGGTTGGGTTGGTCCAGGTTGTCTAATAGTCCGGTTGAACTGACTCAAAAAAATTTTGTATTGGTTAAAGTTTAATAAAAATAAAATAGTTAACTTTAAGTTTTTTTAAATATTAGTTGTATTTATTTATTTATTATTACCTTATTCACAAAATAATAATAATAATAATTCAATGACAATAGCTGAAAAATAAAAATAAATTTTCTAAATTTAGGAATTTGTTTGGGTAGGTTGTCCATTTTCTTATTTAATAATTCTTATATTTATATTAAAAAAGTATTAATGACGTCATGTTAACATTATAATGTTTTTTCTCAAACAAAAAATATTATGCAAAATTCATATTAATAAATAATATAAAAAAGGGGTAGGTGGACTTTTGGCATATAAATTTAAATTTTGAAATTTCAAAAAAAGATATTTTTAGTTTAAATAAAGTTACATACTTAAAAATATTTTTAGATATTTAAAAGTTACTTCTTATTTTTTAAATTCTTTAAATGAACTTTATTAAAAAATTAGAAGGTTAAATTTGAGCCGTATAAAATATTTGTTGAATGCTTGTGCTTTTCTATAGCTAACGAATGGTGTCTTCTTCATCCGGGAGCGTGACAGTTTAATGAGTGATTCAGCTCTTATCTAACTAGTGATTATTTTGAGCTAAAAGTCAACTTTCCTTTGTCGTTTAACCACAATGCCACCTTAAATCAATATTAGTTTAGACTTAGAGGACCAAACCAATGAACACCGACGGCATAATGATTCAACGAGTACTTCAAGCCTTGACCCATGAAACTAGGGATGAGTTTGAGTTTGAAGTCGGCACTTAACCATAATCCAAATGATCTCAAAACGAGTTATGTTGGGCCTAAGGGGACGAGTACTCCAAGTTCAAACACCATTAAATACTGATGGACAAGATTACGAACCTAATTGAGGAAGTACATACATCAATCGAATCAATTTTTGAGACCAATATCTAATTTTTGGAATCACGTATAATTCCAAATTTAAAATTTTAAAAATAAGATGATACAATGATTGATAGTGGTTAAAGCTCACAAATCTTAATTATCAAGTCACATTTAACATTTTTTTAAAAAATAAAATTTAATATATTGATAAAATATCATGAATTAATTAAGAATGCTAAATAGACATAAAATTAAAATTCCACATAAAATAATATTATAATTTTCATAAAATTTAGGGCAAACAAAATTGTTTTGAGATGGGCCCATTAAGGATATCTGATGGGCTTGGGCCCATTTTGAACATAGTGTTTATTAAATCAATCTAAATCTATTAAAAGGTAACCAAACTATCCAAAACGAAACCTAATTTTTGTTAATACCGTACTTAAAAAAATAATAATGTAATAAATAAATAAATAAATTTCTATTTATAAATAGTCCACCGGCAAGCTTTTTCAATAGATACATCTTATTCCACTTTTGCCCCTCCCATAACCGGTCGTAATCATTATTCATTTTTCAGGAAGCTCCCAATTCAAAATCTCGCATTCCAATTCATTCGTCCAAATTTGTTCCGATGGATCTGTTTTCGGTCTTCTCTGCCGACGGAGCTTCGGAACTGTCCGATGCGGAGGAGGAACATGACGACAACGACCACGACGATGATACGGTTTCTAATATCTCCAATACGAGTTCTGCTTGGAGCTTCGGCGGCCTGATCAAGACTCTCGCGACCACGTCGGAATCTGTAATTTCGAACTACCGCCGTGAGATTGAGGAATTAGGATCCGGATTGAAGAAGGAGACATCGGTGATTCGAGACGTCGCATCGCGTGCCGTGAAGGACCTTCCGACGACGCTCGATGTCGGTGCGTCCGTTGCGCAGGAGTCGCTGGAGTCGGTCGGCCAAGCCATTGACGATATCGGTAGTGCCGTTTGGAAATCGACTTCGAAGATTATCTCACATGGTAGGGATACGTTATTAGCATCTGATCTTGTTTCGGGAAATCATGAAAATAATAGCGATGTTGTTCTTTCGTCAAACCAATTAGGAAGTAGCAATAGTAGAAATCTCGAATTCAAACAGTATAATAGGTTCAATACGCAATTGATTGCGATTCAACGAGACCTGGATACGTATTTGGAGGAACCTAAGGATTTAGAGGATTACAAAAATTGGAAATTAGGTTTTGTATTGGAAGATAAAGAACAGGAAATCGATAATTTGATGAAAGAAAGCGAGGATGTTCGGGAGATTTATCGGACGATAGTTCCAAGTACAATCGTCCGTGAGGTCTTCTGGAGTAGATATTTTTACAGGCTTCACAAGCTTAAGCAAGCAGAAGAAGCCAGAGTTAAGCTCGTGAGGAGAGCCATTTCTGCAGAAGATGAGGAAGATTTGAGTTGGGATGTTGACGATGATGATGATGAAGAAGAAGGGAACAATGCTGAGTTGCAGTCAAAGGGTGAATCCAGTGGCGCTCTCAGTACTGAGAAGAGAGAAAGTGACAGTTCAGAGAGTGCCATCTCTAAGAAAATTGCTGTTTCTAATGATGCAACAGAGGATAGTGATAGGAAGCTGGAAGAGAAAGTTGGTGAAAAATTGGCTGCAGATGGAAGAGGAGACAGTGGTGATTCCTGCAAAGACAGCGACATTTCGATCATTTCCAGTGGGTCTTCCGGGGAAGAAGAACTTGGATGGGATGAAATTGAAGACATTGGAACCATTGATGAAGCCAAGAACAATACCTCTAGTAGTGGCAGTGCACAAAAGATTGGTTTGATCAAGCGGCTGATTGTGGCAGAGGAAGAGGAGGATCTGAGTTGGGAAATTGAGGATGAAGATGAATGTGCTAAATCATGAAGAAAGTAAATTTTTGTTTTCTTTTCAAAATCTCAACTTACAGTTCATAGACTCCATGATTTGGTGACTGAAGTCTTTCGATGATAAAGCATATTCATTTGGGTTGTGATTACTGTTCATATCTCATTGTCCGTTGTGTAAATTGGCTCCTCTATTTGTTTCATCTGGGTGTTGATCACAGATTACAATCACTTGGAAGTTTGAAACGTCCAAAAATTATTGAATGAGGCAGTTTAGTCGTTGTCCATCATAATCGTCGGAGGTAGATTTCTTTTGCAATTTATTGAGCTATGGGATACGAACACGAACAGAACTTCTTTTGCAATTTCTTTTCTGTACATTAGATTATACAAAATTGTCACATACATAACTCAACTAGTACGAAAATGATTATGAAATCGATTGAACTTTTAAATATTTTGTTTTCGTTTCCAAATCCTAAACAAAATATTATTTATCAGTTAAATTTATGTATTTGTGAGGGATGGTGTGAACTTTTGGTTTAAGCAAATTCAATAGTGTTATTGTTTTATGAATGAGCTCGAAGTTTAGTTTCGATAAGAAAGATTAATATATCACATTTAAATGATCCTCTTATCAAATTAAATTAACATATATAGTTGATCAAATTAAAATTTTAAAGTTGTTGAGATCCTTTCTCAATTTTTGGTATTTGAATAAATTTAAGAACAAAATCCATTTGAGGAGTGATTAGCTTTATAGTCTTGATGCCACCTACAGTGTACAGTTTCAGAGTAGATAAAAAATGGAAAGAATTATGTTCATATGATGTTGAAGAGCATCGTGGACTTCCCTTGTAGAAGAGCGCATCTCAGACGCGTCAGAGTGGGTCGGTGGATGGGCAGTGGCAGTATGGTAGAGACGAGGACAAAGATGATGAAGCTTATATGTTATAATCAACCACCGCTGTTCATAACAGACGCTCTTCTAGCCCTTGGATCTAGATGCCCAGCAGATCGCTGCGGTAACTCAGCCTGTCACGTTAGTCTCTCTCTCTCTCTCTCTCTCTCTCTATATATATATATATATATATATTATAAAGATACACATATAAATAATATATATATATATATATATATATATATACCATACAGTGTCGCGATTGATTGTTACCCTAACGAATGGTCAAGCCCTAGGGGGCGAAGGTTGAAGAGGATGAGGGGCATGGCCGGGCGGAGAGGGAGAAGAATTTTCCGTTTGGGTTTTGTGAGAATTCCAATGGTGCTATCTCGCGCCAGAATGTATTCATAGAGGATCTCCGGTGAGTTTGATATGCTGTAATAGAGGGAATTGTGTCGGGGGTACGGAGTCCTTGCAATCTCGCAACGCTTTGCTTCTCTCTCTTCATTGATGGACAAGCTTTTGGGCACTAACTTGACGAATGTCTCGAGGTAGAATTTTTGTTAGTTCTATTGTTCCTTTGAATTTGCCTGTTTTCTTCTTGTTCGTTGGTTCATTTCATGGGGACTGGTTTTTGGTTGTCTGAGGATATGTGATTCTTCTGATTTCAGTTCGTTTCTCTGTCTTTTTTATCTTTTTACACTTGGAGAATTTCGTTGGTTCTTCTGTCTGTGATGCATCTTCTACAGTAGGAAATTATGGAATTCTATTTCGTTATTTTAGATTGCGCCATAAGAATATTCTAATATAAGAACTGTACGCTTGAGATTACTTGCTTCAAGTTTTTAATCCGCTTCTTCTCTTACCTTGTGATTCATCTTTCTGGAACTATCTGTTCTTATGCTGTTCTTTTCATAAGATGTCTTTTGTTTCTACTTTTGTCTACGCTCGAAAGAATCTTGCCTGAAACTGCAACCTCGGGAGCTCATTGCTTTGTTGTTGTTTTTGGTTTCTTGTTCATTTGCTGTTATTTGATGTGTGTTCTGTAATTTACAGTTCAGATACTGATCTTAACAGTGAACAGTGTGAGAATGCTATGATTGTGAAGGCATATCCAATTGATATGGTGCGTGCAACAGATGAACTGGGTGGAGAGAATGATGGGAATTGTATGCTTGAACCATTTGTGGGGCAAGAGTTCGATTCATCTGATGCAGCACTTAATTTCTATAGTTCATATGCACAGCGTGTTGGATTTAAAGTTCGAATAGGTCAGTTGTACAGATCACGAACTGATGGTACGGTATCATCTCGCAGATTTGTGTGTTCAAAAGAGGGGTTTCAGCTTAGTTCACGCACAGGCTGTCCAGCAGTCATACGAGTACAGAGGCGTGATTCTGGGATGTGGGTCATTGACCTTTTTCACAAGGATCACAATCATCACTTTGAGCATGATGATGGGGGGGAAACCCTTCCTACTTTTCAAGTTAAGGCTCCTAGATCTGCAAAATTGACGGTTAATGTTTCTCATAGACGAAAAATTCATCTATTCAAGGATGTTGAACATGCCTTCTCCTGTTCTTCAGGAATTATTGATTCAAAGCATTTAAATGAGAGAGGAAACGTAATACCACCAAGGGGTGAGCCTTGTGTTGGTCTGGAGTTCAATTCAGCAAATGAGGCATATCAGTTTTATAATGCATATGCTGCAAATGCAGGATTTAGAATACGCATTGGTCAATTGTTTCGATCAAAAAACAGTGGTTCAATTACATCAAGGCGATTCGTGTGCTCTAAGGAGGGATTTCAACATCCATCAAGATTAGGCTGTGGGGCGTTTATGAGGATCAAGAGGCATGAATCTGGAAAATGGGTTGTAGACCGCCTTAAGAAAGAGCATAATCATGATCTTGAGCCTCAACCAGAAACTCAAAAAAGAAATCTAATAGTTTCCAAAAGGTTCACAGGGGAACTGAATGGTGGATTCGAAGGCAAGGAACCAGTTAACTTGAACTACGGGATCGTCATCAAGAGAACTCGGGAGAACAAAATTGGTAGTGATTGGTACACAGGTCTTTTTGAATATTTCCAATCCAAGCAAGCAGAAGATACTGGATTCTTTTATGCTGTAGAAGTTGAGAATTCTAACTGCATGAGCGTTTTCTGGGCAGATGGAAGGTCTAGATTTTCTTGTAGCCAGTTTGGTGATACTATTATCCTCGATACTTCATATAGGAAAAGTGCTTATGCGGTTCCATTTGCTACTTTTTTTGGAGTTAATCACCATAAACAACCTGTTCTTCTTGCCTGTGCTTTAATTGCTGAAGAATCTGTGGAATCCTTCTCATGGCTGTTTCAAACGTGGCTCAGAGCAATGTCAGGTTGCCACCCACTTTCAATAATTGCCGATCAGGACAAGGCGATCCAACAAGCAGTCGCCCAAGTCTTCCCCCGAACTTTACACTGTTTTTCATCGTGGCAAATCCGGAAAAAGGAGCAAGATAATCTTAACATGCTGGATGAAACTTTTAGATTTGAGTATGAAAAATGCATTTATCAGAGTCAGACTGCTGAAGAATTTGATGTTGGGTGGAACATGCTTGTGGGAAAGTATGGGTTGAAAGACAATGCTTGGTTTAAAGAGATGTACATAAAGCGTAATAACTGGGTTCCATTGTTCTTGCGGGGAACATTTTTTGCAGGCATCCCCACGACTGACAATTTCGAATCGTGTTTCGGTGCAGCATTCAATGCTCAAACACCACTTGCAGAGTTCATTTCTCGTTACGAAATTGGGTTGGAGAGACGCCGTGATGAAGAAAGAAAAGAGAGTTTGAACTCTCTAAACTTGCAAGGTTTTCTGCAAACAAAAGAACCAGTAGAAGAGCAATGTCTAAGGCTCTATACTCACGCAGTATTCAAGGTGTTCCAGAAAGAACTCCTGCACTGTTACAGATATCTTGGGTTCAAGATTTACGAGGAAGTGGCTCTCAGCAGATACCTGGTGCGTCGCTGCGAAAATGACAATGAAAAATGTGTAGTCACAGTGATATCGACAAACCTGACGGTGAATTGTAGCTGTAAAATGTTTGAATACGAAGGGATACTGTGTAGACATATTCTGAGGGTGTTCCAAATATTAGGAATAAGTGAAATTCCACCCCGCTACATCCTACACAGATGGACTCGAAATGCCGAGTATGGAACATTGCAAGATGTGGACACAGATGGTGGCCCTCAAGAACTGAAGGCCGTGATGCTATGGAGTTTGAGAGAAGCTGCTTGTAAATACATTGAGGCTGGTGCAACATCTCTTGAAAAGTACAAACTTGCATATGAGATTATGCGAGAGGGTGGAAGGAAACTCCGTTGGCAAAGATAAATATGGAGGTTAGATAGATATCTCTGTTCTCAATTTTATACTGCATGCACATTCCCTTCTTTTTTTTTTTTTTTTTGGTTGGTCAGTGGATGACTTTAGATTGTGATCCAGAAACCATGATATTGAGTTGTGGGGATGGTCCTTTTCTGGATATGTCATACCTGAATGTTTATAATATGTAAATAAAAAGAATTTGGATTACTTAGAATGAGTTCAAATTTGAATGAGTGAGTTTATATTTGAATATAGCGTCTAACCAAGCATAGTTCCACGCCCTCTTATATGGTTGATTCTTTGAAGTGATACAACTCATATAATATTTGAAGATAGATCAATTTTCAGGGCAGTTGTCTAGACAATCACCATGAACTTATAAACAACAATTATCCAAGCCTTTTTTTATTTAATTTTGTATTTTCAAGCTCACATGTTATAAGATTTAAAAAGAAAAAGGAAAACAAATACAGGTGACATATCACCTCAACATCAAATCCACACGGAATCAATACATGAAAGAACACGATTAGAAAATTAAAGAATTACAGAAAAAGAAATCAAAAGGGTGTTTGAAGTTCCAAGATATTGGTTTGTACATGTATTCATGCATGTTTGGTTCAAACCCTTCCTGCAATTTGTTTGCTTCTAACAATCATCTCTTCAACCCCAACTTGGATAGCGCCTGTGCATAACAATTGAGTTGCACTTGTGATGATTGTCATTACCTCCAAAGTCCTCTGTGTACAAATACAAATATTCCACATTTCAATCTTTCAATCATAGAACCATATATAGAACCATGTGATTTCTAGTTCTATAAAGTAGTCTTGGCCTTTGAATTGTCGTTTTATTTCTAGTTTTATTAGTTCGTAGTATTTAAGAAATACGTGGATTGATAAAGTAGAATAATGTATATGAACCACGTATGCAACTATGTTAACGAGATCGTACCAAAAAGGAAAAACAAGTCATTAAAAAACCCTTCCTTCTTTAGGGTCTAGAAACTTGTGTACTTGAAAAGCTTCTAGCTTGAAGACTTGAAATTGGAATCTAACAAACATTACCCAACAAGCTTCTTCAAGAATGAAAGTAAGAAAAAAGTTAAAAAGTGGGAACTGTTCCAAACAATGCCTGCCCTTACCAAGTTTCCATTTGTCCAACCAAGTTCAATTTCTTTCCATGCAAACCTGGAAAACAGAGTAAAGAAAACAGTAAATTATTAAATACGAAGTTCATAATCAAATTACCATTGGAAAACTGATTTGTTGTAAAGAGAACAGAGATGGAAAAAAGAAGTGTATAAAAATTACCCCATAGCAAGAACAGTGACTGCCCAAGTTGCAAGAGAGGAAACAGATGCTGTGTGTACGTTTGAGGCATTCCATTTTGAGACATTGGTGATACCTGTGGCTGATGTTGCCATTCCAACAATCCCAGCAATCAAAGAGAAGATAATAAAGAATCCCGTCGCCATGTTTCCGATGGGGAAGTACATCGGAAACAAGTGGGCTGGCAGTGTCAACGTCGATGCTACAAATTCATACAAAAAGAACATTTAGAGAGACCCAAACTTACTAACTACCAACATTCTAAATACCCATTCTGATTTGTTGTCATTGGTTGACAAAGTTCGAGACATGAGTTGAAAATTACCTGATTCGAAAGACTTCTCCAACGCGTGATTTACCGCCCACGAAGCAATGACAGTGATGATGAAGTAGAGTACGAGATTAAGAACTAGAAGGACGGAAACTGCAGATCGCACTTGAGTAGCCATGGATTTTTGGAGCTTAGAGAAACCAAGAATGAGAATGAGAGAGAATGAAGTCACCTCCTTGCCCTGAGCTCATAAGATAGATGGATATAAAGGGACATACATGTATATTTAAGCAAGAAGTTGTTCTTTTCCCACAAAAATCAAAGAACAGTTCATCTCCAGGTTAAAAGTATTCCTTTATTTCATAACCAGAATGAAGTTTCTTCAGTTCCAAGGAACGGCCAAAGTTCCTTTCCAATTGTTAAGCTTGCCTCATAAGGGAGCAAGGAACAAGATTCCATTCAAACTAAACCAAGATTGAATCATTGGAATAAGAGATAAGGAAGAAGGCTGTTCAAGAGCCATGTTATACAATCATTTTCTATCTCTAAAGATAGAACAGCTTTGGATCCAGAAAACACAGAATCAACATTTAGTTGTTTTAGTACTTGTATTACCCTTTCTTTTTTAGTAATGAACTTTGTAGTCTGCAAAACAATTTAGAACATGTCACCGTAACTAGATCGATGACTGAATCCATCCGTAAACAACTGAGGTATGCGAAAATTCATAACCAGATGGTAAGTGATCAAGAGGCACTGTCCAAATCCAATTGAGTAAACATTCAAATAAAATGAACATCTGCAAGGTACACAGATGAAGTTTCTTTTTGCTCCAAAAGATTATTATTTTTTTTGTTTTTTGCATGAATGATTGTTCTGAAAAGCTGACTGGAAGACTTCAAGACCTTTATTTACAAAAGGTCTCTCTCTGCATTATCTAACAGAATGAGGGAAATTCTTCTCCTTGGTTGGTAACTTAACTTAATCAACTTAGAACTTTGCCCTCAAGACCAACTATGACTCATTGGCTCTAGACCTTCAATGCCAGTTTCTGAGCAGCAAGTGCTTCAGCTTCGAGTGTTGGCTCCCACAGTAGTGTTGATTCTGCCAGCAGCGAGGTCACGACGTATGGGTCCATGTTTGAAGCGGGACGTCGATCTTCCAAATAACCTATTGCACGACAACATCACAAGGACATAGTACAATCAATGAAGTGTCACTGCCGAGAATTCTATGTTTCATAGAGTATCAGATAACAGAAGCAGACTCCAACATTTGAAGAAAGCTTCTTTGGTAATGCAAGTGGTTTTTACTCCTAATTTCAGTTTTCTAATGTTCAGAGAAAATGAAGCTAAAATATCGCTAAAGCGGGAAAAAACCCATTTATACGCTCGTTAGACTTATTGCCTTCTTGTTATTGAACAACGATGGCAACATCTTTCAAATTAGCTCCATATTATTGAATAAGGAAGAACGAATATTGATAGCGTTTTATTCCTGAAATGATATATCACATACCTTTTCCTTCTTTCTCAGTGTCACGTCCCACACGGATCGAACAACCGCGGTTAGCCACTCCCTGCAGTTGAAATTTTCAAACTTGTTCCAAATAGTATTTGTTCAGGACAAAAGAGTGTAGCAGATGTTCAGACATACCCAGGAAAAGGAGTTGATACTTGCTGTCTCGTGCTTCCCTGTCAACCTCCTCTCATTTCCTTCTCCATAGGCACTGATATGCTCCTTGTGGCGAAGAGACAGATTCAGAATAGCCTTCTTTATGACTTCAAACCCTCCTTCCTCTCTCATGCTCTTCGTACTGTAAATCAATGGATTGCTCATCAATTCAAGCCACTACGAAAACATTTCATTGTTGTACAATGATCATATTCAATGAAAGGGAATGCATTCAAGTACCTGTAATTGGTGTGGCATCCTGCTCCATTCCAGTCACCCTGCCCATGAAATGAATCAGACAAGTCCACTTAACCAGTCCATTCCAAGAGTAAATTGGACCTAAAAGTTTAAAGTACCTCAATTGGTTTTGGATCAAGAGAGAGAACCACCCCAGCTTGTTCGGTAATTCTCTGTCAAGACGGAGGAGGAAACATGAGTCCACACATAAACCCAACTAAAACCTCGGTTGAGGAGCGAAGCAAATCGACCCAAGCATCTTTCTCGAGCCCACCACTTCACTTTCACTTAGGCTCAGAAAAAGTCAGTGGAGGGGGGGGGGGGGGGGGGGGGGGGGGGGGGGGGGGGGGGGGGGGGGGGGGGGGGGGGGGGGGGGGGGGGGGGGGGGGGGGGGGGGGGGGGGGGGGGGGGGGGGGGGGGGGGGGGGGGGGGGGGGGGGGGGGGGGGGGGGGGGGGGGATAGATTTCATCTTATTCACCGAGGTAAAAGGTGAAGGAGCGAAGTAAACATACACTTCCATGTTTTTACCGATCTACAGCCAGAAATCTATTTACTCTCCGATTCATCTTTGACTCGAGCTAACTTTATCAATATGAGGTAACTTCCTATGCATTCACAATTCTGTGCCAAGCTAATTGCAAACTACTTACAGTAAGAAGTATAAGTTTTATTTGAGGATGATGAAATGAGCATCGTTATCGAGATTAAAGAAAGCATGTATTCGAGCCTGGTAATAGAGGAAGTTTAGCCCTTCAAGGTTTCATACCTCAAGAATGTATCTAGCACACCAAATATGATCTCCTGCTTCAATCCCAACACTAGGACCAACTTGAAACTCCCACTGCATGGAAAATGTAGTTAATTCAAAGGATTATATGAACCGTAGAATACCGCTCGATTCGACAAGATTAGACATCAGTGAGAACAAGAGAGAACCTGGCCAGGCATGACTTCTCCATTGGTACCACTAATGTTGATCCCGGCATATAAACAAGCCTTGTAGTGAGCATCTGATATATCTCGACCAAACGACTTATCGGCTCCGACACCACAGTAATAAGGACCCTGCCATGAACAAGATATCATTGCAGATGAAGTTAATATGATATTGTATAATGAAGCTGTAAAGATCAATATCAAAAGAACTTCAACCTGAGGTCCAGGATAAGCTCCAACCGGCCAACCTAATGGCCACTTCACGTTTGTCTGAAGTAAGGTGTACTCTTGCTCAATTCCATACCTAAATTACAATGGTTTCAGTACTCTGCACTGAACATGTAATCTCTAAAAAAATGGCCATCTTAGAAGGAGGTTGGTTCTACAGGGCACACTTAAGTTAAATGTATGACTTAATTGGATTACTAACCAAGGAACTTCATCCACAACCTTCTTGTTGCTGAAAATCTCAGCAGCTCGGTGGCGTTTGTTCGTAGGGATGGGCTCACCAGCTGGTGTGTATGCATCACAAATCACCTTCATTGGATGACGAGACCATTAACATTCCGATAAATGATACCGAAAACATAAAGACTTTCGTTCTATGAGCAATGATATTCTTAGAACTCACCAAAATATTGTTGCCACCACGGAAGGGATCCTTGAAAATTGCTTGAGGACTGAGGAATACATCAAATATTAGTCAGATGAAGATACTAAATGTTACTATAAAGACAAAGATCTTAGATCATACTATAGAATGACTTCACTGTCTTCCCCAGGTGCTTGTCCAGTACTCGATCCATCGTAGTTCCACTTTGGTAGCTCAGATGGATGTTCAACAGGCTTTGAAATGGTCTGATTGTAAGAAACGATGAACAAAACTCAGAATAAGAACAATGAGGATCAAATGAATTCAAGTGATGAATATTTATTGTATAAATCAGAAGCAGAAAACAGCATACCCTTGACTTACTACGCAAATCAATGCCAGATCCTCCAATCCTATGCGAAGAAACGAACCAAATAATTTCAGATATGATGAACTTTTTGTTCTAATGAACACTCTAATCTGCTGTATGCTAAGTGAAATGCAGGTTAAGGAAAGATGAAGAGAAATACCAGATATATTCAGCAATGATCTTGTCAGTGTATGGAGTAACGTCCAGTTTTAGTAGATCTTCCATCCTGTTTATGGTGCTACCATCAGATTTGAGAGCCAAAACTCTGAATTTTGCTGAGCTTTTCACACCTCCTTTCTTGCTCTGCTTCATAAGCAAAGAACTCCACATCTTGGGGATTATGGGGCTTCCACCCAGTGAACTCTGTTTAGTTCTCAGTTGACATTGAGTAGATGGAGCTAAAATCTGAGCCATTTCTTGCGCCTACTGCTGAAATGAGAGCATTCAAAGATCAAAACAAGTTCAAAACTACATTGTTTCAGGAGAGTTCAAGCCATCAAGTGAGCTATTCCATTGTTTCATCGATCCAAAATGATGAACACAAGGAAAACACATTTAGAAACAATCCCATGTAAGAAAACAGAGCATTTGACAGTAAAACGTAGCCACATTTCCCTAAATCCATGAACAGACACAAACCCAGATAGCAAAAACTCAAGAACTTACAAGAGAAGTGCCGGCGAGTGGCAGGAAATCAACCCAGAAGTGGGTTTCTTCGTCGATAATGGCGGATGAAGAACAAAGGGATGAAGATTGCAGGATAGAGATAGAGATAGAGCGAAGATCCTACAACCATATAAAAGGGAAGTGTTTAAAAGAGAATTTGTTGGCTTTTGGGAAGTAGATAGGGCTGCGAGATGAATGGAGGAAATTGGATTTTGGGTTTCGAGATATAAAAGGATTTTATGGAAATTTGAGGAAGGTATTGATTATTGAAGAACACTGCATCATTTGATTGGTTTCAGTATTAAATTACTAACAGTTTATGCTTTTCTCAGCCGAGAACGACATGGGGTTGCAGAGAATCTTGTTAATTTAGTCAACCTTTCCTTTCAAATAATTTATTTATTGTTTCTTTCAATTTCCAACTGATTTATTTAAATTTATTACCCGCATTTAAAAATTAATATAATTTTCATATTATTCAAAATTAAAATAAATTTAATGGGTTAAAATTATTTTAATGAAGATCCATAATTAATTTTCTAAAATTCATTCTTTTAAGTCATCTTAATTCCGAACATCTTAAACAAAAGATCAAACCAAACTTCTGTTGAATACCAAATTACAAGAAACGAAAACATTTTTCAACGTACCAAGACGCCTTTCACGTGAGTATCAAGCCGAGCTATCAAATTAAAAGAAACGAAAACATTATCCAACGTACCGGGACGCCTTTCCTGTGAGTATCTAGACTAGCTTCTACGCACTTCGACTAATAGACTCAAACACGCAGCCACAGATACAGTGTCGAAGCCCCGAAAAGTAGAACTTTATTGAGATTTCACTTAGGAGTGGTATGATAGTAATAGTAACAACCATGTTGGATATGAAATTTGAAAGTTCATCAGCAATACCATGGTGGAGGGGTAAATATAAACCTTCCTGGAGCAGTCAGTCCTGTCTATGCTGCCTGAAGTTATTGTTTAACTCAACTGCCTAAACAAATTTGAAGCTCTTAAGGTTTCAGTTCAACCAACATTTGGGTATTAGAACGAAAAACAAAATTTCGAAACTCGTTAACGAGTAAGAATCGCAATATGCAGCGGTAGCTGAATGAAATCAGATTTTGCCATCTTCAAGTGATGATTATCACACCTGCAGGAGATGATAACAGCGGTAAGTTAAGTCGAACGAAAAAATTGTACCGAAAAGAGAGCTCGGTCGAGTAACGAGGTTTGGATGCCAGTTCACAGGGCTCTCTCCTATGGCGAACTCAAGGACCTGATTGTATAACCAATAAAACAGAGTCGTCGTTCCTTGTTTTAAAGGATAGTTGAGATTATAATCGACTAGATCGAATTTTCTGATGAACATAGCATAGCATCAGAGCTAAAAGTAGGAGTGCAAGCTGAACCCCAAAAAAACTGAATGAATCCAACTAGCTCAGTCGATTGGAGCAACGCATGTTGGTTCAATGTCATGATATTCAAAAGCAATAAGTAGCTAAGTGGCTGGCATAGTCTATTCAGTCGGCCTTGGTAATCTAGAACGTTGGTTTCAGTTTACATTTTCAAATTTTCTCATATCAAATATGTTAATTCAAAGTCAGTTTTTGGCCAAACAAGCAAGATAAACCGACCCACGTACCGTCCAAATTCTAGATCTGTAATATCCCAAGTCTAGAGCTAGCAGAGATTGTCTTCTTTGGGTTTTTCCTTTTGGGCTTCCTCTCAAGATTTTTAAAACGCTAGGGAGAGGCTTCCACACCTTATAAAGGGGATCTCACAATCCACCTCCCTTGGGCCTCTATGTGGGATTTGAAATGTTTCGCTCTCCTATCCAACCGATGTGAGATCTCACAATCCAATCCAACGTCCTCGTTGGCACATCGCCCGGTGTCTGCTATGATACCATTTGTAACAACTCAAGTCCACCGCTAGCAAATATTGTCCGTTTTGGCCCGTTACATATGACCGTCAACTTCAAGGTTTTAAAGTGCGTCTCCTAGGGAGAAGTTTTCACATCCTTACGAGGAATGTTCGTTCCCCACAAGGGAGAGGTTTCCACACCCTTACGAGAAATGTTTCGTTCCCCTCTCCAACTAATGTGGGATCTCACAATCCATCTCCCTTCTAGGCCCAGCGTCCTCGTTAGAAGTTTCCACACCCGTATGAGGAATGCTTCATTCCCCTCTCCAACTGATGTGGGATCTCACAATCCACCCTCCTTCGAGGCCCAGTGTCCTCACTGGCACACCACTCAATATCTAGCTCTGATACAAGATATCTAGCTCTGATACAATTTGTAACAGCTCAATCACACTAAATTATAGTCGTTGCAACTCTAGAATACAGAACTACGTTGAACTAGAAGATCAAATAAACAAGACTCAAGACTCTTCAGCTAAGCATTAGAATGCAATAAAAATGAAAACATCTTTATGTATACCAGACATTTAATCATAGAACTCAAAAACATAATCATGCAAGCTTCAGCTAATCCACACTATAATCAAGATATCCATCTTAACAAACAAAAATTAGTAATAATCAAGCTATGCAGGAAATCCATCTAAACAGAACTTTGAAGTAAATATTACCTTACAAAATGATGCCTCAAATCTGTATCTAAACGGAAGCATTTCTCTGCCAGACCTTTGCTTTCTCAGCATCAATAATGGATCCCACCAGCTTAGCCGCATTCTCCAGCTTCCCTTCTGCATTCACAACCACATAATCAAAATTCTTAACATGTCTTACTTCCTCTCTAGCCGTTGCAACTCTCACCAACAATGACTCCTTCGTCTCCGTCTTCCTATCAATCAACCTCTCCACCAGTTTAAGCTCACTCTCCGCCATCAAGAACACAAACACAGCAGATTTTCCAAGAATTTTCCTTAATGTCTCGGCCCCTTGAATGTCTACTCTCAACACAATATCAAACCCTTGTGCCATGAATTCCCTAATTTGCCTTTTGGGAATGCCCTTGTAATCCCCATACACTAACGCATATTCCAGAAGCTCGTTCCTCTCAATCATGGCCAGAAATTCTTCCTTAGAGACGAAATAGTAGTCTTCTCCATCGACTTCACCAGGTCGCATTGACCGACTCGTCGCTGTCACGACAAAATGTAGCCCTTCTCGAACCTCTCTCAATCGTTTAATCACAGCGTCCTTCCCCACCCCACTTGGACCGCTGATTACAATAATCAAAGGGCTCGGTTTCGGTAACAATGGCTCGGAGCTAAACGAAGAATTGAGCGAAAACTCGAGTGATCGCAGCAATTCCAATCGTTCGGCTTTGTCTGGTGGCGGAATGTTGGCGGAGAGCGGTCTTCGAGCATCACCCATTTTAGAACTGGATGAGAAAAATGTTGGGTTTCGAGGGAATGGTTGAATGGGTTTGGATTTGGGTGATTTGGGGTTGAGGAAATTGGTAAGGGAAATGGGGTTGTGGAATTTTATGCGGAGATTTCCAGAGCGGGAAAGATAGGCGCCGAAGAATCTGCAAGACATGGGTAGAAGAAGAACGGTGAGAGCAGCCCGCTGTATCCCAACCAATTCACTCTGGAACAGCCTTGGGGAATGGAATTTGGTTCGCTGGATTCAAAAAGTTGAAGCACAGGACAGGGCGAAATCAAATCACTTGAGAAATTTTCGGTTCTTCAAGTGGCCGAGGGAATGGCTCATGGTTTGGGTTCACCCTAAGAAATGACATAATTTGAGGGTTTCTTCTACTCAACTAGCTCAATTTGTGAGGGACAAATTATCAATTAATAAGTATTCATATGCTAAATTATAAATTTAAATATTCATACAAACTCGTCCGTAAGTTTATGATAGGATGGATTAGTCTTTTCTCGGATATGGATTAGTCTTTCTAAATCAAGCATATCAAATCTTCCATAAATGTTGGTATAATAATCGCTTTGACCCGTTACATATCGCCATCAGTCTCATGTTTCGTTCTCTTTTCTAACCGATGTGGGATCTCACGATCTATCCCTTGGGGCCCAACGTCCTTACTAGCACACCACCCCGTGTCTGCCTATAATACTATTTGTAACCTTCAAAATCCACTGCTAGTAGATATTGCCCGTTTTGGCCCATTACGTATCGCCGTCAATCTCACGATTTAAAAAAAGTGTATAAGAAATGTTTCGTTTCCTTCTACAACCGACTAAGGATCGTACAAATAAATTGATTGGATTATCAACTTATTTGAACTGGATTTAGTTCGACCTATCTTTATAGGTTGAGATAAGTTCTATTAAAAATATTTTTTTTGGAAAATAATTTGTATTTAATTAAACTAATTTTGGGTGTTTGCTCATGTTATCACTTGCATTCAATTACCATATGGTAAGATGGGGGCAAAAAGAAGGCTTAGCAATTAGTTAGTTAATTAATTAATTAATCATGTGATTAATTAAGAAACTTCATGGTGGATTTTGATGTTTATTAAAGGCATTCATCGAAACTCCACATCTCGCACTTCCGTGTTTGGACTTTTTTTTTTTCACTCTCTCTGACCAAATTGAAGTCTTCCAGGTTCATCATCGCCTCTCTGATTCTTGATTCCCCTTCAGAGTAAGCGTTTCTCAAATTCTCCCGCGTCCCAAATTCATAATTTTTTGCCGCTGATTTTCGCTTCAAATTTCCAAAATCCTTCATCGATTCAAAGTTTTAACCTAACCCACCATTTCAATTCTGCGTTTTTGGAGAAGGGTGTCGTTTAAAGATCAAGAAATCGGTTGTTCTCAAACTATTAGTTGATGGGCACAATTAAACCGTTTAGAGAAACCTCTAAACTCTCTTCGAATCCTCCGTCGGTGACCTCCTCTACCGCTCGATTCGAGACTGTTAATAATTCGCATGATTTCAAGATCAATGGCTACTCCCTCAACAAAGGTATGGGAATTGGGAAATACATTACATCGGATACGTTTGTTGTTGGTGGGTACGAGTGGGCTATCTATTTCTATCCCGATGGTAAGAGTATGGAGGACAGCGCGGCTTATGTCTCGATTTTCATAGCGCTTGTCAGCGACGGTGCCGACGTCAGGGCACTCTTTGAATTGACGCTTCTCGATCAGAGTGGAAAGGGGAATCATAAGGTGCATAGCCATTTTGAAAGGAGGCTCGAGAGCGGTCCATATACCCTCAAGTATCGTGGAAGCATGTGGTAATTATTTTGCTTATTGATCATGATTGTTCTTTAAT